ATGTAGAGATTTTTCTAATTCAGTTACAGGTGATGGAAAAAAGGTAGGCAGAATTACTGGTTGGGAGAGGTGGAAATAGGAGACAACCTTTGGTAGGAAGGAGATGTCTGGAAAAAGAGTGACCTTGTCCGGATGAAATTGGAGAAATGGTGGATCCACTCTTAAGGCTGCGAGCTCAGAGGCGCTGTGGGCAGATGTAATGGTGACAAGGAAGAGAGTTTTGAGAGGAAGGAGATATTCTGAAGTGGTAGCCAGAGGTTCGAAGGGATGATGAGAAAGCCAGTGTAGTACAAGGGACAGAGACCATTGTGGAGCAGGTGGGGGTGCTGATGGGCAGATATTGGCAACACCTCTTAGGAAACGTTTTAACTTAAGATGCCTGAAAATCATCGCAGCATCTGAATCTTGTCGTTGATATGCTACAATGGCTGACAAATAGACCTTGAGGGTCAAAGGAGATAGTTGTCAAATAAATAAGAAAGAAATTGTAGGACAGTTTTTAGATTTGTTGGTCTGGTAGGAAAATTATGTTGGTGAGCAAATTTGATGAAGGCAGTCCATTTGTGTGAGTAAAGTTTGACTGTAGAAGGTTTTCGAGCATGATCAAGAGGACCCTTTACTGAGGGAGGATCCTCCATGCTTTGAGGTGGAGAGTGTGTAGATCTGGATGGTAGGTTCTGCCCTGATGTTGAGTCAGGATGTCTGGGAGGGGCAGTTGGATGTAATCGCTAGTGATGGAGCGTAGCATGGTGAACCACAGTTGCCATGGCCACCATGGAGCAATTAGAATAGCGTTAGTGTGGGTCATTTCTGATTTTGGCAATTGTCCTCAGGAGGATGGGAATGGGAGGGAATAGGTATATTAGATGAGTAGTCCAGTCTGCCATGAGTGCATCTCCCAGTGATCCCTGTCCTATGCCTGCTCTTGGGAAGAATAGGTCGCATTTGGTATTGTGATGTGTGGCGAACATGTCAATATAAGGTTGACCCCAACACTTGCAGAGGTGAAGAAACACTGATTGGTCCAGGGACAATTCTAGCATCTGGGTATGCAACCTGCTCAGTTTGTCTGCTACTATATTGTCCTGTGTGGCAATGTGTACTGCCATGGGATAGATGTGGTGTTGGAGACACCATTCCCAAAACTGCACTGTGAGATAAAGGAGCGGCAGATAGTCCGTCTCTCCTTGTTTGACATAAAATAAGGCAGTTGTGTTGTCTGTTGTCACTTGAACAACGTTTCCACGGACAAGAGGTTCAAAAGTTTTGAAAGCCTTGAAGGTGGCCAAAAGTTTGAGATTGTTTATATGTAAGGTATCTTCTGTGCGAGACCAAGTAGCGTGGAAATGAAGACTGTTGCAGTGTGCACCCCATCATCCAGTAGTGCTTGCGTCTGTTGTAATTTGTAGAGATGGGTTGCAGGGGAGCAAATGGTCACCCTATGAAGAGATTGTAAGGGTTGTCCCACCAAATAAGCTGAGCAGAGAGCTCGGGAGTAACCTGGAGACTTTTGATGGTGATTCTGTCATTGGATCGAAAAAGGTAAGATACCAGGATTAGAGGGAACGCATTTTGAGCCTGGTGTGTGAAATAGTGGAAATCGTAGACACCATGAGGCCTAGTAGGCGCTGAGCGGGATGTGTGGTGACACTGTGGTGGCAACAGAAATGGTTGATGAGGGCATGAAGTTTAAGAGCCCTTTCCTGAGGGAGGAAAAATCTTCCTTTGGTAAAATCGAGGAAAGTGCCTATATACATGATGTGCTGAGTGGGAATGAGAGTTGATTTTTCTCTGTTGATCTTTAAACCCAGATCTGCAAGGAGAGGACCGTCTGAATGTCCCTTAGAGCCTGAGAACGAGATGGGGGGGGGGACTACGAGCCAGTCATCTATATAGGGGGAGATTGAGATTCCCAGGGTACATAAATGGGCTGCTATGGGTGCCATGAATTTCATAAAAACTCCACTGTAAAGCCCGAAGGGGAGAGCCTTGAATTTGTAAGTGTGATCTCCTACTGTGAACCCGAGAAATTTGCGATCATCTTGACAGATTGTAATATGAAAGCATGCATCACTTAGATCAGGGGTCAGGGAACTTCTTTTACCTTTTACCCCCTAAAAAATTTATATACGCCAACATTACCCTCTTGATTTGAAAGGATCTCAGTCACACGTAGCCAGTTGAGTGTCGCCACTGAAGCCTCGCCGCCCTGATTGCACTCAGTCCTTGGCCCCGTGGGGGCGGCTCCCTTTCTCTGCCGGTGGGCGGCTCCTGGGCAGCCGTTAAAGAGCAGCATGTGGCTTGCCTGGTGGGGACCACCTGTTGCTCTGCCACCAACACCAGCGACTGCTCACCAGGGTGGCCACATCAGGCTTTGGTGTCAGGGCTCCTGCGGGCCTCACTGTCGAAGCGCTGCGACAGCTGCTGCATGGAGGGCAAGAGGCTCCGCCAGGCCCGGCTGGCCAGCACAGAGGCACCGCTGAAAGAAGCCACGCGGCCGGCCGAGTGCTGCTGCCACCTGACAGGCTCCTCCAGGAGCAGGGTGTGGGGTATTGGCGTCATCCCAGTGCCGGGAAGCTGAGCCTGGCCCGGGCCGCCATCATGGCCATGCCCGCCCCCCTCCACCACGATCCACCTCTCTGGGCACTGGAAGGAGAGGCTCCTCCTGGCTCGGGTACTCCGGCCACTCACCCCGGCCTTGCCCTTCACCATGGCTGTCGCTGCCACTTTGGCTGCTGTACACTGCTGGCCAGGGCCTGTCGCCGGCCACCATCTGCTGTGGCTTGACTGCAGCCAGGCTGGAGAAGGGGGTGTTAAGGGGGCAATAGGGCAGCCGGGGACCCCTCCCTCGGGGTAGAAGAGGAGGAGGAGGTAAGGGGGTTAGGGTTGCGTCCTCATTACCCCTAGGATTTTCATTTTTACGACATTTGGGGTAATTTACCTCTGTTCCCTGACCACTGGTTTAGACGGAAAGACAGTAGGCGATACTGGAGATTGTCTTGGAGGTTGTGATTCCATAGTCCGAGAAGGTTGGAGAGATTGTTCCCAAAAGGACCTAAGGCTCTGTTGTCTCAACTTAAGGGCCTGCCTGGTAAAGTTTTTGCAAGGCTGACATGAAGAAGTTTGATGGGATTCTCCCAAACAGAAAAGGCAGATGTAATGGCCCTCTGTGAGTGTGATTTTACTTAAGCACAAAGTGCACATTTTGAAGGGGGGAAGGGGTGCCATAAATGGTGGGCAAAGGGGAAACGGTCCAATTAATGTGGAGTCTCCTACGATTTCCTGACTATGTCAAATTGAAGATACTGAAGCAATTAAATTGAAGATACTGAAGTGATTGAAAATATTTTTTATGTTCCTTTTAGAAGCAGAATGGATGAACGCAGCAGCTCAACAGAGGAGATACCTCATGCAGTGGTGGCAAAAAAGCACTGAGATAATTGCAAAGGCGAACCTTGTGACCTAAGGAGGTCGGTCTTTGATGAACGTAGCATAAAGCTTTAGAATATTTCGGAGACCTCTGCACAAGCGTGGATTAAACACATTAGTCTGCATTCAGAGACCATGATGAAGAACCTCTTTGATTCAGTAAGCCTATTCTAATGTAATTTACTATGCTAAGAAATGGGATTTTGACATTGGCAGTGAAAATCCACTGCAAGTTACAGTGGTGCCTCGCTTAACGATTGTCCCACATTACGATGAATCTGCTTTACGACGATCTTTTTGTGATTGCAATTGCAATCGCAAAACGATGGTCTAAATGGGGGAATTTCGCTTAGCAATGATCGGTTCCCTGCTTCGGGAACCAATTTTCGCTTTACGACGATCAAAAACAGCTGATCGTTGGGTTTTCAAAATGGCCATTGGATGCTTAAAATGGCTCCCCGCTGTGCTTAGGGACGGATTCCTCGCTATACAGGCAGCAAAAATGGCCGCCATATGGAGGATCTTCGCTGGACGGTGAGTTTTTACCCCATTGGAATGCATTGAACAGGTTTCAATGCGTTTCAATGGGGTTTTTAATTTCGCCTTACGATGTTTTCACTTAACAGTGATTTTCCTGGAACGGATTATCGTCGTTAAGCAAGGCACCACTGTACACTGTTTGCTTTTTGTAGGCATATATATCCAATAGGATTTTGGCCAATAATGAGCATTGTCTCAGACTGGAGTCAATTATCCAATGAAGTCCTTCAATAGAAATATAAGGATAAATGTTACACTTATAGATACACTTACACAATAGCTGAACTATTGCTTAGTGTAGTAAGCTGCACCTAGAGTAGGCCCACTAAATCAATGAAACTTATAGGGGAGTTGACTCACCAAATCCCCAGTGATTCAGTGGGTCTATTCTAGTTGCAACCTATTACACTTTGCAGGAGTTTCAGCCAGTTTCTTATAAAGCACCAAAAAGCTAGATTTCATTACCACTAGATATATTAACGACTAGATGTTTTGCCTATCAAGGTTAAGTAAATTATAGAATTATTAGACATAATAGTTAGATGGAACCTCCTGTTTAAAAAGTATTATATACAGTGGACCCTCAACTTATAGATAGCTCGACTTACAGACTTTTCTAGTTACAGACTTCTCTGGCTGCAAAATTTAGGTTTGACTTGCAGCCGAAGAATCGACTTTCAGACCAGAAAAAAACCAAAATGGAACAAAAACAGCCGGTTACAGATTAATCGGTTTTCAATGCATTGTAGGTCAATGGAGACTCGACCTACAGACTTTTCGACCTGCAGCCACCATTCCAATACAGATTAATTCCGTAAGTAGAGGGTCCACTGTATACCAAATGCTAGGAACAATTAACCACAGATAAACCATTATTGATTTCTGTTCACTGCAAGCTTCTAAAGGGTAACCATTCCTGAACACTGGAATATTCATGAATGGTTTTCGTTTAACCACAAAATAATACTATGATAATACCATGTGTGTTAAGTGTCACATAGAGGGATTAAAAAAGTTGCACCACAGAAATATCTGGCCTTCAAAATTTATTAAAAATCAAAGAATACAAAACTTCACATAAAAATATGTATTTTAGCTTCCCACATTGTTATACACACAAAAAGAATAACATGATATTTTAATCAGCTATCCACAGCGGCATAAAACATAACCAGAGTGGTAGCCAGTGCAATTTATTGGTTTACCGTGACTGAAATGGAACATGATATCTCCTTCTCTTAAGCCTATCCTCCTTTTCAATTGACACTATTTAGGACACTGAAGTTTCCATAGGTTCACAGTCAATATTGCTAGCATGTAAGAGTGAGTATAGGTCTATTATCAGCCCTTGAATACTGGTTTATTCAAGTTTAAATGCCTTATTGTACCAGCATCTCTTAAAACCCCTTCAGATTTAAAAAATGGTGAAAGCAAATATATACATCCAATGTCAAGCAGGGCTGAGATTTTGGCAATTCAAAATCCAATTGTTGTTTACTCACCGGTTATAAAAATCGTCATTTATTTGGATTTAAGTTATAATAACAGGGCCAGAATGTGAAGAACTATGTGCACTTCTGCTTGTACACAGAAAATGGAGGCACATCACCAGTTTTCCTTTTGGTTGAAATCCCTTATTCTTCAAATGCTAACTGGAGGTGGGGAAACCCAACCTCCAGGAGAAAAAATGGGGTTAAGAGACTAAAAGTATGGTTTCAGGATCTCAGCCCCAATATTTAGGAGCTCTCCCCAGAAGAATCAGTATCATGTAGTGTATGAACATAGTGTATGACTAACTATATGGAGCACTGATTGTTTATCTCCCATTGGCAGGCAGTCCAATAGTCACAATTTGGATTTAAAGATCCACTGCCTTACTCATGTTAATCTTACCCTTGGTGATCTTCCACTAGTATAGTTACTCATACACTTTATGCCTGCCTTCCTGAATAGCTTACAATCAATACTAATGTGAATATTCATTACTAATAAGTAGAGAATTCAGAAAGATTCTTTTCTGGTTCAGTCTGGAGCAAGAAGAACGGCAGACAAAAAGTGTGCTAATCTATTTGGAATGTTGCACTCTCTGCTCACTATCCAAAGGACTTGCATTAATTATGACAATTGTCCCTAATATATGCCAGACCAGCTTCCAAGGCATGCCTGCAGATATTAAAGCTTATTATTAGAAGAATCATTCCATGTCAAACACTCACGTATCAGTTTAAGAAATATTCATTTCTGCATATAATTAAGATATCATGGTAGAAGGTTTCTTTCTAAGCTCCTTCTTCAAGCAAAAATACTTACAGTGCTCTGGAGATCAAGAATGCTCCTTTTTCACAAAAAAGAAAATATGAAAAGATGGCAGCCAGTAACAATGAGAATATGATGGTTTTTAAAAACAGGGCTAAGCAAGATATACATTTTCTTGCTTTACAAAAGTTAACAGAGATTGCCATGGTGATACACACTTGCATAGTATAGCTGTATGCATCTTTAAATCAACCCCCTGCCACACAGATATTGGCCTAAAATCCAGTGTTGCGCTAACATATATCCAATGTTAGTGCAATAGAACTTTCTTTTCCATTTCTCACCTCTGCATCCCTTCATACCATCTCCAAAGTTTCTCCAGATGGGTTTCCATACCCTCTGGAGCAGCACTTGAGAGTACACAGTGGGACAGCAGTGAGGAGGAATTGCCCTCTCCCAGTTCCACTGATGAATGCAGTTCCCAATGTATGTAACACTGGTCTGTGCTCTTTTACAAGACAACAAGACTAATAGTTTAAAAAGCACAGAGAAGCCAGAAGGTACTTTTAAGGTAGTTGCTCTTAACAGAACGAATGGACATTGCTAATCAGATTCCTCAACAGAATCAAATATACATTCCTTTCTCCACATTCCTTAAGTTGGATACTTTAATTCAGCAACATTTTTGGACCCAACCAATCAAAGGCTAAAAAAAGACTGATGAAAAGAATGTGTAGTTTGCAATTTGGAAGTCAGATTCATCCATCTTCACTCTAAAAGACTGGGATTTTTCAGTGGTCTTCTCTGTGTCCAGGTTTAAGGAATCAAGTGAAGCTTCAAATTTTCCTGCCTGATACCTACTGAAACAAATATGAACCATGCAAGAGCACTGGATTATACCTGAACACATTAGCTACTTGTTGAATTACTGTTACGTACCAAACTAGTGCAAGGGTCAAAAGGCTTCATAGCTCAATACTTTTTATAGACATTTAAACCAGATCAGCAGTTGCACTGCAAATTACAAAGCATCCAAAAATTATCAGTATGGTAAGCTGATTACTTAGCTCACCCAATTTTCCAGGATCTTGAACCCAACTTAGAAAATGCAACCTGGGAAAGGATTTTTAAATGCAAAAAATAGGGAAAAAGAAAAAAATGACACATCTCCTCCATCCCTTAAATATAACTTATATGAAAAAACAATTAAAACATTTTTGAGTCATTGCACAAAGGTTATGTTTGAAATGAGCTAAGGCAACAAAAAACTTTAAAGAAATGGGAAGGCAGTGGGCAAACACACAAAGATTGGTTACAACAAAAGGTAAAATTCAAACCATCCATTACATCTGACAGAACAAAACAAGCCCTAATGAACAAACAGAGCTACAGCAAAGTGCCACAGCATTTATTGTCCTCACAATACTCCTGCCAGAGCTGTTTCGGCACTGTAGTAATCATGGATAGGCAGAAGACAAACTTCCACATTAATAAGGCTTCACAGATAAGCACAATTATTTCTTTTAAGATGGACTCAACCACCACACAAAGAAACATGCAAAGGTTGGATGCAGGTATTTGGCAACATCCACAAACTGATGCGCTCGGTGCTGGTCTCAAGTCCCTCCAGACTAGTGCCACACATACTGAAGTAGACACCATGACGTTGGCCATTATCTGCTAAGGCTAATAGGCAAACTGTCTCTATACTTCTTTCTTCTCCAGATATTACGGTTATGTTGGTGATGCCCTCTGCTGCCACCTGGCTGCCTCATGGCTCCGTTAGTGGCAGAATTGTATCCATTGCCTTGATTATGAGCCCCTTTCACAGTAAACTTCATTCCATTGTGCTGCTGGAAAGGCAGGAAATGTTTAAGATTAATGTCAGCTAAATTACAGTTTGAACAAATCTTTTTACTACTTTGCCTCTTGGCAATTCTGCAAGGATAGACTCATAACATGCTTTCCCAAGGTTGTGTATTTGAAATAATAGAAAAAGAAACTGAGACAAATTGCTCCCAAAATAAAAACCAGTTCAGAAGAATGCACTAATTTGCAGTAACATTTACTCTAAATTACTCCTGTGTGAGGGATTATGGGAGACAAAGAAGTCGTGACAGAGATTTCAGGTTCTACACTAGATGGGTTCCCCACCCTATCCATTCCACTCTTGGTCCATCTACCATTAATTGCCCCATGAGAAAGATTACAGACCAGAGGAAGTAAGGCAAAGGATAAAACTATATGCCTGTTCCTGTCTGGTCCCTCACAGGGCATGCCCTGCAGAAAGGATCTGAATGACTTTTTATACGTTTACACTGTGCGTTGTGATTGAATTATTATATATATTTTATGTCACAGGAAATCTCCTTTGGAAGACAGTTAGCCCAACAGGGAGGATACAAGTAACTACAGTAAATAAGGGAAGTGGCGCTATGCTCCACAACCACAGCTACTGGACAAATTCTCTAAGGGTGACATACCTGATTATTAGTTGCCATAATCAATGTTCTTGCAGGGACAGATTGAGTTTTACCACTTGACACAGGCAATGCTGGTGGTAAACCAGCTGTAAGTTGAGATGGTGCTTGCAAATTGAAGTGGTACACATTAGGAGTTGTGCACGGTGGAGTATCTGAATCCTTGTGACAAAGAAAAGAGAGAAATTGAAAATATTTTTTAAAGGAAAAAAACCCCACCATCCAAGCAAATACACCCACAAATACTTTGTTCCAATACCTTGAGCATGAAAAAAATAGAATTATATGACAAAACTGTCTCTTAGTTTTCTGTCAGTCTTAAGATTTGAAGTGTTCTCCAAACAAGTGGGAACAGTTCATCTATGTTACCACTGGGAATCTGAAAATCCTGTACAGGCAGACATGCTTCGAAAAAAGACTCAGATATAAATCAATTATTTTCTAAAAAACAACAACTGTGGGTTTTAAAAGTAGAATTAAAACTACCTCATGTTGGCTCACGCTCCATAAAGGCTGGAAATTGAAAGCAAAGGCTGATGCCTTAACAGATGCGCCCTGTAACCAGAAATGGTATTGTGCTATGTCACAAACTGTGCTTGCTTACAATGTACCCTTCACATATTCACTCTGCTGTGGTTTTTATGGATCAAATCCACCTGTGAGGATGGAGTGCCTAGGACCAGGAAAGATATTCTACTCTACTTTAGTTCCATACCCTTATGAAACTTTTCATCCTTACTAATCATTCTGTGAGTTACATCATGCTACATTAATAGCTAGTAGGACAGAGGCTGGCTAGCTGCGTAGTTTGGGTATCTGGCTGTGGAGCCAGAGGTTGGGAGTTCCCCACTGTGCCTTCTATGAGCAGAGTCAGCCTGTGTGGCCTTGGGCGAGCTGCACAGTCCAAGTGCACTCACAGAAGAAGGGAATGGTAAACCACTTCTATATATTTTCTGACTAGAAAACCCTGAAAGTGGTTGACATAAACTGGAATCGACTTGATGGCATGCAATTATTATTACATTAGTTCCACTTTGAGATGTAGCCCACTGGGTAGAAAATCCACCACAAAATATCCAAGGCTGTCTCCCACTACCTACAAGGGCTTCTCCTATATGAGAACATGCTGGACTGCTCCAGAAATCATACTACCTGATTAACACACCATGGTCTGCCAATCAGAAATACTGTATGCCCAAACTGCACAGTCCCAGGGCGTTCCAAGAAGAAGGGAATGGTAAACCACATCTGAGTAAAATAGGATCCCCATATATGTGGGATCAGTATTCATGGTTTTACTTGTACATGGTCTGAACATATTAAAAATATTAAAAGAAAATAAATCTAGATATGTAGGTCCTACTGTATTCTCTACCTGAAAAATCCTGAACAGGGTCGCCATAAGTCAGAACTGACCTGATGGCATATAATGATGACTGTGGTTCTACTTCTAATGAAATGAGATATGGTGCTTCCAACCTGATTGTGTAGCATGACTGTAGTAGATGGTGCCATGCTAACAGGAAATGATAAATCAGTTTTTGAAAATATCCACTCATCTTATGTATTTTGGTAATGCCGGGGTGACAAACATACTGATTTTGATCAGGAATAAAGTGTTTTATTACTGTGCATTTTTAGCCTAGAGCCTCTTGCCATCTATACTACTGGCCTCCCAGTAGTATCTCTTGTGACCAATTTGGGGCCTTCTTTTAAAACAAAGTGGAGACCATCCGCCAGGGCCTGGATTTCTCCTCTTTACCAGTAGACTGAGCCAAAACATCCACTGCTTCGCCTTCCCTGGAGAAGCGGATACCATTTCAGCCTGTGACATCAGTTGAGGTCAACAGGGTGCTTGACCACTGTAGGGCCACCACTTTTTCACTAGACCCTTGCTCGGTCTGGTTGCTGAAAGTGGCCACACCTATAACAGTAGAGTGAGCTACTGCCATTATCAATGGGTCTTTCCTAGAGGGCAGGGTGCCCCTTACCCTCGAGACACTTGTTAGACCAATTAAAAAAAAAAGATCAACTTGGCGGTGGATGACAAACTATAGACCCACTGCCAATGTCCCTCTTATAAGCAAGCTGATGGAGAGAGTGGTTGCCGATCAGCTTCAGGCACTTCTGGAGGAAACCAATGCCCTCAATCCATTCCAATCCAGGCTCAGGATGCATCATGGCATTGAGACAGAACTGGTCACCCTTCAAGATGACCTTTTGAGGGAGGCCGACAAAAGCAAAATGTCTTTGTTGGTCCTCCTCAAACTATCAATGGCCTTTGATACTGTCGACCACAGTATGCTCCTGGGGAGGCACTCCGGGTTGGGGAGATGGAGGTTTGGCTTCGCCTTCTTGGAGGACTGTCCTCACAGAGTGCAGTTTGGGGAGATGTTGTCTACTCCGTGAACTCTTAATTGTGAAGTCTCGCAGGGTTCGATCATCTCTCCAATGTTATTTAATTTCTACATGAGGCCACTTGGGGAAGTAATCAGGAGTTTTGGAGCTTTTCATCAATATGCAGATGACACCCAGATCTATCTCTCCTTCCACCTTTCTGCAGTGGATGCTGTCCCGTCCCTTGAGCACTGCCTGGACGCCATGCTGGGGTGGATGAGGGATAACATACTGAGGATGAACATGGACAAGACAGAAATCCAACAGGTGGGGGGCCCTAGTGTCTGCGGTCTGGGTGCTTCCCTTTCTTTTTTTGGGGGGGCATTCCTTCCATGAAGGATGAGGTGTGCAATCTGAGTGTACTCTTGGACCCACTGTTACCAATGGAATCTCAGATCGTGTCTGTGGTCTGCACCATCTATTTCCATCTAAGGGGGATCGGTCAGCTGTGTCCCTACCTTGACACCGGGTCCCTCACAACGCTCATCCATGCACTGCTAGTCTCAAGATTAGGCTACTGTAATGCTCTCTACGTGGGGCTGCTCTTGGCGTTGTTATGGAGACTTCAGTAGGTCCAGAACTCAGCTGGCAGATTACTGAGTAGGGTGAGAAGACATCAACATATCTCTCCCACCCTGGCTGCCCTGCACTGGCTATATGTTCATTTCCATGCCAGCTTCAAGGTAATGGTGTTAACATACAAAGCCTTAAACAATTTGGGACCTCATTATCTGACAGAATGCCTCCTTCCGACTGGATATGCCTGTCTTGTAAGATCTTCCCAGGCTTGGTGGTTGAGAGTTTTGATCCTGAGAGACTCGGAAAACAGCGGCCAGAAACCGGGTCTTCTTGGCAGTAGCCCCACAACTGTGGAATGATCTCCTGCTCAAAATCTGCCTGGCACCTTCATTGGGAATTTTAAAGTGATCACTAAAAACACTGTTATTTAGACAGGCCTTCCTCCGGAATATCCCAATACAAGAGCGCTTAAACCAGATAATCACTAATGTTCAACCCCACGCCATGCTTTCATTGTTTTACTGCAATGTCCTATTGATATTATTTTTATTTCTCTATATTGTATTGACTATTTAATATTACTGTCCTACTATTGTACTGTTTTGCCTTTATATTTTTGTTTTATTGTACTGTTTAAACCACCCAGAACGCCCTGGGTAGCCAGATGGGCAATATAGAAATCAATCAATCAATCAAATGAATAAATAAATACATTGCATTCTCATGGACTTTCATGAAATTATTCAACAGACAACTGAATTTACAAGCTTTGTGACGGGTTCAATCTGAATCAAAGAAGTGATGTTCTGGAAGAAAGTGTTCAATCCTTTCAATTTCTCACTTCTTTTCAACAGCAGCATCAGAGCATCTAACCTATTTCATTCCCATCAAGCATTTTGAAGTTCCATAGGAAGTGCAGAATGGCCTCACAGCATACTACTGGTGGAACTCTTAAGGTAGTAATGGATGAGTATTTTTCTCATGTCCCAAAACATCCAATCTCAAATCAAGCATGCCAAGGTCAGATACTTTGCAATGTGCATAATAGTGGAAATCTTAATGTGGTAGAAAATGAGATACAGTTGATAATTTCCTGTACTGTAGTCCCACATCCAATATAAAAAACTCAAACTTCCTGTAGATAGATTTATGGTATTTTTCGCTCTATAAGATGCACTTCCCTCCCCCCCAAAAAATGGGGGGGAAGTGTCTGCATCTTATGGAGCAAATACTGTAAAACAGCACTCCCCAGGGCCCAGTGGGGGATGGTGGGGGGAGCCTCGGAAAGGTCTGAGAGTGCCTTCCAGGACCCTTCGGAGGCTCCACCCCCCATGGGGCCAGCAGGGGTGAAATTGCAACCTTCCAGGACCCTTCTGGGGCTTAGAAAGCCTCAGAAGGGTCCTGGAAACTGGCGATTTCACCCCCACTGGCCTCACAGGGGAGGCAGGAGGAGCCTCCAAAGGGTCTGAGACTGCCTTCCAGAACCCTTCAGAGGCTCCCCCAGGCTCCATCCCCACGGGCTCAGCAGGCTGAAATTGCCAGAATATTTTTTTTCTGTTTTCCTCCCCTAAAAATGAGGTGCGTCTTATGGAGCTGTGCGTCTTATGGAGAGAAAAATACGGTATGTACAAACTAACATAATGACAATAAAAAGGAGGAAAAGAGGGTCCCATGCCATCAAATGGGAAAGAGGCAAAGTGCGGGTGGATAGAGAATATGGTAGGGAGGCACAATTTGTTACATTCCACATTATTGTCCTTGCTCATGGCATATGTCCGTTCAGGCACAAGCTGTACCTTCCAATTTCCTCGCCTGAAACAATATGAGACAGCCTTAATTAATTGAGATGGAGCTCACTAGCCTTAACCATGGCATTTCTGTCACTTTCATTTCCTCAGTTCACACATGTGTTCTTTCAACTGAAGCAATAGCCTGGATTAAGCGAAGCCCTACTGAAGAGTTCCCCTGACCATGAACAGGGCTGAAAATGAGATGTAGACACATATATCAGCTTGCCTGTGAAAGCTAATGCACTCATCTAGTGTGCTGGATCATTTGAGTGCTGAGTGTGGCAGTCTGCAAAAACAATAATGGAACTATGTTCACTGCATGTGGTTACGCTGCTCTTTTCAGACCATTACACCCAACATGTGATGGTCCAGGCCACTAGTGGAGTGTATCACTGTTTTGGGGCAGGGCTTACATACTTGTGGATGTCCCTGTCCCCACCTTCAAGAGAAAAAGATCATCCTTCATTCTATTTAATGGCTTTCCCTTCTTCAAACTTATGGTTTTGAAAGCTGATTGCCTTTTTGGCCAAAATATAAACATGAGCCTAAAATGGCAGCATAAGAAAGGCAGCAATTATTTAAAAATAATTAATAAAATTAGCTCTTTCCTTAGGTTAGGAGTGGTGACTTCAGTGTATCCTAGGGTCAGTCTCCTACCCTAAAGCTGCTACAGAACACTGAAACTCTATGAAAAATGGGAAAAATATTTTAATATGAGCAGATAATACTTGAATTGAAAGGACTGTTCTGGTTTTCTGTCAACATTTGACATCGTGGTCTGTGTGAACTAGGACATCACATGACCCACAAGCCATGTTCCATTCATATGTGATTTAAGCATTGTTGTTGTTATGTGCCATCAAGCCAGAAACTTATACCAATCCAAACAGTACTTTCAAGGTGAGTGAAATATTTAAGATGAGTGGTATCACAAATAAAAAATATTTACCACTCAGTGATTTAGGTATCCGGCTGTGGAGCCAAGGACTGTGAGTTGGATTCCTCACTGTGCCTCCTATGAGTAGAGCCAGACCAGACCAGACAAGCTGCAGTCTCTAGGCACCTCCAGAAGAAGGGAATAGTAAACCACTAGAGTATTCTCTACCTGGAAAACTCTGAAAGAGTTGCCGTAAGTCAGAACTCACTTGATGGCACATAATTGCTTTACCAATTCCACCACTCCAGCGAATTCTCATGGCTGAGTGTGGATTCAAACTCAAGTCTCTTGATTCCCAGTCTGTCACCCTATCCACTATACCATACCATATCTTGAGCATTATTAGTTACATTTTTAGACAATTAGCTGATTTTTTTTCCCCAATGATATTAAGATTTTAAATTCTATTGCCTTATGACTAAGCATACGTAAGTACTTAATTATCTAGAGACACAGCACTTTAAATAATAAGTCAGGTAACAGAAAAAAAATTAAAATTTAGTTTCAAAAATATCAACAACACTTGGAAGGAGAAAGAAATGGGACTTACAATATCGCTGCCAGAAAGAGAGGATACAGAAGAAGCAGATGAACCTGATGATAAGTGTTGTGTACCAGTAAGCGACAAGGTCAACGTTTGGTTGAACAATGGGTCAGCATCTCTGTTCTGGATGCTGCTGCATGGAGATACTGTTTCTCTCTCTTTTATTTGATTATCTGTTAGGATATACATTTGTCAGTTTTGTATACCAATGCATCCCTTTTCACATTTAAAATTCACCAACCCTTCAGTTTTAGGTAAACAACATTACACAATTATGTCAGTTCTATTGCATATGACTCAGACATTCAGCTGTTGTGATTACTAAGCTCAATTCAGAAATCACTTACAACTACAGTTAAAGGTGTTTAACTATGATCTCCTGCAGACATTGAAAAATACACTAAGTTGCTTTTGTAACATTTGTTCCTCAAGTAGCATTCTACACATTCTAAATGAAAGGTTGTGCCCAAACAGAACTATTCCTTTCAGAATCCTCAGGATGACAGTTTTTGACAGTTGCCTCTCCCCAACCAATAATGCTTCTTTAATACCTGTTTTCCCTCAGTTTATAAATTTTGAATGACCAAAAGAGAAGTTATAGAAGTAGATGAGCCAGGTGGTAAGTGTTGTGTACCAGTAAGTGAAAAAGCCAAAGGCTAGTCGTATGGATCTCTGTTCTGGACAATGCTGAAGTGGTCACAGCCCTAGTGGAATAGCTTCTCAGTTATCCAACTAATCCAAAGTAATAGCTTTATTAAACTACTTAAGCAAATCTCTGGGCAGAGGCAGCTTTCTCTTTCTCACATTTATACTATGCCACCTGTCCTTTGTACCCAGAAGGTCAAGGCGTTTTGTACATGAAGTGTATGGACAATCTTCTCTATCGGTGTTGAGTGATAGAAAAAAAACCCCACTAGTGTCAACATCTTTTTGTGGGTGGGTTGTGAGTATGGTCCCTCTTCAGAAGTGACTACCTTTTCTTTCAGAGTCAATGCTGTTAATGTCAAGACAGCCTTTCCCCACCAAGCCAAAGCCAAAGTTGAAACGAGGTGGAGGCTTGCTGAGTCAAGCCCAACTGTAATGCAGAGGTGACAGCCATGACAGAGGGGACTGAAGAGAGGACCTTGAGGAGTTCAGGTGACTGATATACCGTATTTGCCGGTGTATAAGGTGACTGGGAGTATAAGACGGCCCCCCAACATTTCCACTCAGAATGTAGAGTTTGTTATATACTTGCTGTATAAGACTACCCCCTCTTCCGCATGCGTGATTCTGCTTTGGCTGCATCATGGGGAGAGTTCCTTTTGATTCCTTTTCGGAGGCGGCAGCCATTTTGGAGAGGCGGCAGCCATTTTGGAGAGGCAGCAGCCATGTGGTTGCTTCTCAAAATGGCTGCCGCCTCTCTGCTGTTCCGACAGTCAGCTGTTCGGCACTAGAGTCAGGCTGTTCCCAGGCTAGGAGTGGGGCTCTACTGGGTCTTACTACCAGGTAAGTGACTTTGCTGGGAGAGAAGGAGGGTTTGCTAGACATGCACCCGGCGTACAAGACGACCCCCCCCCCACTTGGAGGCCTGTTTTTCAGGGCCAAAATGTCATCTTGTACGACGGCAAATACGGTATTAGCTCTACGCGAGATAAAATATTGTTAAAGGCATCACTGACATGGTGATGGAGAATGTATTCTCAAAAAGTTAAGATTTTAACTATGAGCTCCTCTTTCTCTTAATTTTATGTGCTTGGGTAGAAAAACCCAAACAAATTTTACCAGTAGCAGTGCTGGTAAACACTTGCCAAAGCAAAAAAGACATTTGCTGTGGCCTTTGCAGATGAAAAATTTCCCTGACACTCCAAAGAAAACTTCAGAGGTTGTAAGACCCAAGAGAAATATATGCTAATAACAATGTTTTTTTTTCTGGAAACACATAAATACAAGTGAGGAATAACAAACTGTATGCAATGAAAAACAATTGCCTTTTTATTTCAAAACTGAAGTTTGTTAAGGCTGTGACTATTGTGGTGTACAAAGCAAAACAGAGAAGGGAAAGTTTAGTGTGCATTAAAGAGGGAAAAGGGGACCAACAATCAAAAATTCTCAGTCTGGAGAATTCTGAAAGGGGCAGGTCTGCACAAGTGGCACCAATCAGTGTGAATGCATGGAGCCCACAATGAAAAACATTAGTTTTAGAAAAGAAACTGAATCATTCACCACTCTAAGGCAGCCAGAACCAATGATTGTTAACAGCCAGTAACTTGTTCCATTGGGCATTAATGCACTGGGGTGTTCTTTCAAGTAGTCCAGAAAATTATATGGAAATACTCTCTTATCCCCCTCTCTGGCTAGCACTGATACTGCAACTTGGAAATTCAATTAAAAAACGACTTAGAATAACAAAATAACGTAAAACTTGCAAATATGTTTAAAAGTAACTAGAAAATATTGTTGCACTGAAAAGAAACTTTGTCATATAACTTTTGAAATATAATTTTGTTGTAACCTCCTTACAACAAGTACCTGCTACAGGTGACTATTACTTGTAACTACTTACTTTCAAGGCTTGATTTGTTGTTATGTCTTATCGAATCATTGTCTGTGACTGGTTAAACTAGAATCAGAAATGGCAGTTTGTGCTGTTGGGTATGTCTAAAATAAGAAAACATAGTGAAGGCCACTACTCTATCTCTGAATACCACTTACACCTCTCAAGACTGGAGTTCTGAACAGCTGACAAAAATGTATCAGCAGCCTAAAGTGTGCTTTGATGCATTTCCAATGTAAAAATCACAACATTAGAAAAATAAGAATTCACTATAAGCTCTGTTAAAAATCTAAAGTGGAGTTCTAATACCACCTTCTTTACACACCTAGATCAGATGGTATGTTAATTTTGCTTCCCCATTTCTTCTTAATCCAAGCTCTGTAGTCAATCACTTCCTGTGTCACTTTGATGATTCTTCCCAAAGTACTAGAAGAAATGTTGGATGTATGTTAAAAAAAAGTAGGCACAATATCAAAGTAGAATGCTGAACAATACTTATTTATAGATACAGTCGCTATAAAAAGTTTACACACCCGTTAAAATGTCAAGTGTCTGTGATATTAAAAAAATGAGACAAAGATAAATCATTTCAGAATTTTTCCCACCTCGTGGCGCAGTGGTTAAATCGCTGTACTGCAGCTAAAACTGTGCTCACGACCTGGGGTTCAAATCCCAGGTAACCGGCTCAAGGTTGACTCAGCCTTCTATCCTTCCGAGGGGGGTAAAATGAGGACCCAGCTCGCTGGGGGGGGGCAATGTGTAGCCTGCATAATTAAATTGTAAACCGCCCAGAGAGTGCTTGAAGCGCTACGGGGCGGTATATAAGCAGCACGCTTTGCTTTGCTTTAATGAGACCCATGAACTGTACAACTCAGTTGAACAACAAACTGAAATATTTTAGGTGGAGAGAAGTTAAAATAAAAAACTGAAATAATATGGCTGCATCTGTGTGTACACCCTCTTGTAACTTGAGATGTAGCTGTGTTCAACAGTAAACAATCACATTCAAACTCATGTTAAGTAGGAGTCAGTACACCCCTGCCATCATTTAAAGTGCCTCTGAGAAAACCCAAATAAAGATCAGCTGTACTAGTAGGTCTTTCCTGACATTTTCTTAGTCACATCCTACAGCAGAAGCCATAGTCCGCAGAGAGATTCCAAAGCATCAGAGGGATCTCATTGTTAAAAGGAATCAGTCAGGAGAAGGGTACAAAAGAATTTCCAAGGCATTAGATATACCATGGAACACAGTGAAGACAGTCATAATCAAGTGGAAAAAATATGGCACAACAGTGACATTACCAAGAACTGGACTTTCCCTGCAAAATTGATGAAAAGATTAGAAGAAAATTGGCCATGGAAGCTGCCAAGAGGCCTACAGCAACATTAAAGAAGCTGCAGGAATATCTGGCAAGTACAGTGGACCCTTGACTTACAGACGCCTTGACTTACAGACTTTTTGAGTTACAGACTTCTCTGGCCGCAAAATTTAGGTTTGACTTGCAGCCTGAGAATTGACTTACAGACCAGAAAAAAACCAAAATGGAACAAAAACGGCCTGTTAGGGGATTAATCGGTTTTCAATGCACTGTAGGTCAATGGAGACTTGACCTACAGACTTTTTGACTTGAGAACCGCCTTCCAATACGGATTAAGTTCTCAAGTCAAGACCCCACTGTACTGGCTGTGTAGTACATGTGACAACAATCTCCCGTATTCTTCATGTGTCTGGGCTATGGGGTAGAGTGGCAAGGCGGAAGCATTTTCTTATGAAGAAAAACATCCAAGCCAGCTAAATTTTGCCAAAACACATCTGAAGTCTCCCCAAAGCATATGGGAAAAAAGTGTTATGGTCTGATGAAACCAAGGTTGAACTTTTCGGTCCTAATTCCAAAAGATATGTTTGGCACAAAAACAACACTGCACATCCCCAAAAGAACACCATACCCACAGTAAAGCATGGTGGTGGTGGCATTATGCTTTGGGGCTGTTTTTTTCCAGCTGGGACAAGGATCTTAGTCAAGGTAGAAGGAATTATGAACAATTCCAAATATCAGTCAATATTGACACAAAACCTTCAGGTTTCTGCTAGAAAGCTGAACATGAGGAGGAACTTCATCTTCCAGCATGACAATGACCCAAAGCATACATCTAAATCAACAAAGGAATAGCTTCACCAGAAAATGATTAATGTTTTGGAATGCCCCAGCCAGAGCCCAGACATGAATCCAATTGAATATCTGTGGGGTGATCTGAAGAGGGCTGTGCACAGGAGACACCCTTGCAAGCTGACAGATTTGGAGCATTTTTGCAAAGAAGAGTGCGCAAATATTGCCAAGTCAAGATGTGTCATACTGATAGACTCATACCCAAAAAGGCTGAGTGCTGTAATAAAATCAAAAGGTGCTTTGACAAAGTATTAGTTTAAGAGTGTGCACACAGATGGAACCATATTATTTCAGTTTTTTATTTTTAATTCCCTCCACCTAAAAGATTTCAGTTTGTTGTTCAACTGAGTTGTACAGTTCATAGGTCTCATTAAAGGTGGAAAAAGTTCTGAAATGATTTATCTTTGTCTCATTTTTTACATCACGGACACTTGACATTTTAATAGGGATGTGTAAACTTTTTATATCCACTGTAAAAGCTTTTGATAGTTCTTAAAAAGCTCACATAGGTTCAACAGTGCTTTCACTTTCAAACCCTGAACAATCCTTTTCCATGGCTTTACATTACAAGTTCCAAAAAGATACCAGGATCTGGTTTGTATCACAGAGTAAAGCTGTTTCACAAAAGAGGAGTAGAAATGGGAACATTAATTTGGGGAGCAACTAAAATGGCAAGTTGTTCTGGACTGATATGAAGTTTTCACAGCCAGGCACTTTGTACCAACTGAAATCATAATTGTAATTTACACAGAAAATATTTATTTACTCCAGGAAAGTGTGTTGTGAGTATCTACGGAGCGGAGTCAAATTGGTTACATTTCTTCCCACAGTACACCATCACCCTCCTCTGCCATCACCCATGCCCTTTTCCTCACCAGCCTCCTTTATTTGTTCATTCAGTACTAAGTACTGAACTCCTGGGCCAACCAGCTGAAGCTGTTTTTTTGGTCTACACAGACCACCCTGTATAAAGGTGTGTATGAGTGCTTGTATATTCCAGAAAAGAAAGAAGTAAATAATCCCACTTCTTTTTTTTCTGTTTCTTTTTTTCCATTCCACCTTTACTCAAGGAGCTCTTTTGATACAAAGCTATATAGTGACACTGACAGGAAACTAATGAAGGCAATTAATTGTAGGGTCAAATTTTCAGAAGCTGTCTATGAATTAACAAACTAACAACGTTACCTTTCTGAATCTCTGTTGGGATAGGATCTTGCAAGTGGTGATACAGCATGGCTTAGAACAATGTAGGCATAATCAAAAACTTGCTTTACTTGCATGGCACCATAACAACTTCTTCCCACATCATTGCCTGTAAATAGTCAAATTTAAAATTTAAACAGAAGTCACATGTATAACAAAAAGAAGCATTTTTAATTCACCTAAGATGAATACACATTGTGATGGACCACAGGATTCAGGAAGTCCACTCAGACACACTACTCAATTGTGGCTGGATTGGGTGAGCACAGGAAGAATAAAATGTGGTGATAGCTAGGGAACCTGCCAGGTCTCTGTATCTCCCAACACTTTAGTCTGACCCAAATAAGCAGTGCTTTCAGGGAGTTCCAAAAACTCAACAAGTTAAACGCTTCAAACTGTTATGTCAACCCTCCAAGATAGAACTGCTGCCATACTCACAAAATATCAACTCCCCATAACTGGTAGTGGCAAGACCTGCTTTTAAGTACTATAAACCCTCTTAGCTGAAATTCCAGACAATTGGGTGAAGAATCTTTATTTTTATTAAAGATAGTGAAAATGACCCCAAAAAAGTCTCAAAAGGCATCAAATATATTTGGAGCAAACAATAAATGAGTCTAAACTGAAGGAATACAGAGAAACATATTAGAAAATAAGAAAGCTAGCTAACCTACCCAAAACTCACATACAAGCATTGCATTAGCATGCACAGAGTGCATCCCGCACAGCATGGCATAATAGGATAGCAACTGAACATAGTGTTTCCTAAGAGACAACTAAACCAACCACAGTAACTTCTGAAAACCCTTCATATACCTTAAACATCACATTCTGGGCCTTTGGGACAATCAATCAGTTCCTATCAGTGCCTATTGTCTTTGAATGTTCACGAAGACAAGAGCAATTTTGCTCCCTCCCTTCACAAAGCTGAAGTAATTTTTCAATTAGCACAATACCAAAGAACAAACTGATTTAGCCTGAAGTCTTTGCTCAAAAGATAAACTGCAGGTGACATTCCCATTTTGTTACTGGCAGAAACTGTCCCCACCTTTCTCCCCAGTCCATGTACCCTAATTTCTCAGTTTCTTCACACACATGTTGAAAAGTCAAGAGAGTATAAAACTGATCAGCTCTGCGCTTGTATGGAAACATTTGTGGCCAAGAACATCAAACAGAAAGGATATATTACCCCAGTAGCATATGTTTGGTTCAAAGCCAAATAATCGTGGTAGCCGAATCAAAGTGAAAATCGAAGGTCAGGTCAGTCCGAATCGAATAAACCAGATACAAAATCATAGTCAGAAGCAGTCCAAGGTCAAACCAGAAGTTTTTAGGAATTAATAAGATCTAAGCGATTCGAAGTAGTCCGATTGCAATGGCGGCAAAAAGGTACTGAGGTACTGCGGGCAGGCGGAGCGTGCACGACACAGGGAAACGTTTTATTGGTCATTTAGTTAAGCTCTAGAATATTCCAAAGAATACTGTGCAGGCACAGTTAAATCCATCTGTGTGCAATTCACAGAGACCACGAAGAAGAAACACTTAACAGTACAACATGGAAACACACAGCATCCTACCACAATTCCTAGATGTTACATGGCATTCACAGAAGTTAAAAAGAGGTTACCTACCTGTAACCATAGTTCTTCTAGTGGTCCTCTGTGAATTCACACAAAAGGGTTGTTCTGCGCCTGCACCGAATGTCTCGGAAGATTTTTGAGCTTAAAAGTACAAAGTTAGTGTGACGTTCCCCTGTGGAGCACATGCTCTACCCACCTAAGATTTCCCTTAGTTCCTAGAATTTGTCTGCTGGGCAGAAGAGTGTGATGTACAGAGGGGAGGATGGGTGGAATGTGGGAATTCACAGAGGACCACTAGAAGAACTATGGTTACAGGTAGGTAACCTCTTTTTCTTCTTCGTGGCCTTTGTGAATGCACACAAATGGGTGACTGGCAAGCTTCACTTACAGGATGGTGGGACGTTACAGTACAAAGGATGGCAATACAAATCTGCCAAATCCAGCACCATTGCGTGCTCTCAAATCTAGGCGGTAATGCCTGACAAAGGTCAATGGGGTAGACCATGTTGCAGTACGACAGATGTTAGGAATCTCAATTCCACGTTGGAAGGCAGTAGATGTTGACAGCACTCTAGTGGAATGTGCATTCAAATGATCAGGAGGTGGTTTGCCTGATATTTCATATGCCAGATAAATAGTTTGGACTATCCATCTGGAAATGGATTGTGACGCAGCTGGGCCTCCCTTGTGAGGTCCATGGAAACATATGAAAAGTCTGTTAGTTTTCCTGAAAGTTTTAGTTCTGTTAATATAACATGCAAGACAGCATGACTAGCATGTGGAGCATGCGCTCTAGAGAGGTTGATGGTGATGTGAAAAATGGTAATATAAATGGTTGATTTAGATGAAATTCTGATACAATCTTGGGCAGAAAAGAGACATCAAAATACAAAGTCACCTTCTCTGGATGAAACTGGATAAAGGGTGGATCAGAATGAAGAGCAGCAAGCTCACTGGCTCTTTCAGCAGATGTTATAACCACCAGAAAAGATGTCTTTAGAGAAAGCAACCTAAGATTTGAAGAGGCCATTGGTTCGAATGGTGGGCGCATGAGAACATTAAGAACAATTTGTAGTGACCATTGGGGAATAATACATTGACGTGGTGGACGGATGTTATTGAGTCCTTTGAGGAATTTTTTAACCGTAGGGGGAGATAAAACTTTTGCTGACATAGAGTTATCTGGTTGATGGGTAACGATGGCTGATATCTGGACTTTTAAAATGGAATGAGAGAGTCCAAATTCGAAGAGATGGAGTAAGAAGGTTAAGTAGTGTCTTCAAGGGAACAGGTATTGAAGGTAAGTTATTTATTTCCATATAATTAAGGAAGGCTTTCCACTTATTTGCATATAGAAGCTGAGTTGACGGTATTCATGCTTGATCCAAGATGCGATTCAAGGCAGGAGTAACCTCCAAGCTGTCAAGTTCAATGATAGAAGGTCTGGATGGCAGACCATCCTGTCATTCTGAGTTAGGAAGTTGGGAACCGGAGAGAGTCTAAATGAGTCTGTCAACATCGACTTGAGGTGAGTGAACCATGCCTCAGCCACCAGGGAGTGAAGAAGATCACATTCAATTGAAAGTGTCGTAGACAGATAAGTGTCCATTGTATGAGTAGTATTGGTGGGAATAGATAAAATAATTCCTTTTTCTGTATTGTCTGTTGCCAGTTGCACCACTTGACCCCTCACGACGCCAGACATTTGGTGTGTGGAAGGTGTGCGGAAGAGGGAGTAGTCTTGTACGGCGAGTATATTAGGATCTCTATATTTTGAGTGGAAATATTGGGGGGGTCGCCTTATACGCCCAGTCGCCTTGTACGCCGGCAAATACGGTAAGTGTCTTGTAGATGATCACAACAAACCATTCTCCCTTTTATCTGGGGTTTTCGAAAAGGCTGGCATCGATGGGACTGATTTCAGTTCTGAATGGATGATGTTGATGGTGGTGGACCTTGAAAGGACCTGTCAACTCATTGTGATCTGAATTGTTGATATGGCTGGAATCTCTGATACAATTGTTGTTGAAATGATTGGGGACAGAATTGAGTTTATCTGTATTGAGGTCGTTGGTATCGAAAGGATTGTTGGTTGGTGTATGATCTTGCTGTTTTCTGTATTTTATAAAGGTTTTCCATAGTCTCATCTGTTTTCTGATTAAAGAGACCTGTGCCATCAAAGGAAAGGTCTTCTATCCTTGACCTGGCATCATCAGACAGTCCAGTGGATCTAAGTCAGGCATGTCAACACAACGTTATCGAGGATGCTAGGGATGCCACATCGGATGCATGTCTAGCCGCAATCCTTTATTGTTTTGCCAGCGAGATGGCCTCCATATGGCCATTAATCAGTTCAGTTTTGATTGGTTGCTGTGGGGTTTTCGGGCTCTTTGGCCGTGTTCTGAAGGTTGTGATTGATTCAGGTGCGGATTCCAGTATCGGGAGAATTTTGTTTCAAAGTTGACACTCATAGTTGGCGACTCTAAGTGAAAAGGATTGGAGCGAATAAATTCTTCTACCGATTATGTAAATTTTCTGCCACTTATAGTAGGGGCCACTGAAGACTTATTTCTGGCTCTGGACTGGTTGGGCTCAACAATTATAGAACTGGGAGTAGGATGTTTGGCCAAAAACTCGGTGTCCGTTCCATGCGTCTTGTACAGGTTTTTCAGTCCGTCTTGAGATTTGTAGCGTAGATGGTGGCTTGTCCCATGCTTCCTTGATTCGTTTGAGCATCGATGGAATAAAAGTAAGACTAAGTGGAGGTGTCCTTTCATGATTGGTTGTCAAAGATTAGATCTGCCTCAGGTGATGGAGGTTCTTCGACATGTAGTTGTAGGGATTTAGCCATTCTGGATATCATCTGTGAATAAGAAGTGAAATCCTCTGAAGGAGATGGAGGATGATTATTGATAGCATCTGGGGTTGGTGTAGGGAGGTTGGATGGTGATTCTTCAGATGATTTGGATCCTAGTTCTTGGTCAGAAGAGGATGTGGAAGATGATGATGTGATTCTGGGTCTTGTTACGGTCGTGGCCGGAGGAGGGGGCTGAGTTTGGAGGGAAGACTGAGGATGATGTGGTTCCAGTTCTGTTGTTGGATGGGAACCGGTATATGTGGTAGTAACCTAAAGAGGTTGCTGAGTTTTAGAAGATTGTCTGAGGCATTTGGAATGGTCGGTGTGTAACACTGTTGAACATTTCAGAGCCGGTTTAGAAGTAGGAGGTGCAGGAGAGGCTGGTACCAGATGTTGGGAGCGGTGTCGGCGGTGTGGTGGTACCATGGGAAATTGGTATACTGGTAGTACTCTCCGTACGGAGGCATATATCAAGGAGGAGGAATATGCTTCCGTTTCTCCTGATGTTTTCGGGGAGAGTGTTGAGGAGAGTCTGAAACTGAAAGTTGGATTTCAATTGCCCGCCCTGATGCAGAGCTAGAATAGGCCAAGGCCTGGCTGGATGGTGTATGAGGCATTGAGAGGCCAGTGTGCTTCTGTTTCTCCCAATGTTTTTTCGGGGAGAGTGTTGGAGTCCAATCCTGAAAGTTGGATTTCAATCACTCGCCCTGATGCAAGGGCTAGAATGGACCGAGGCCTGGCTGGATGGTGCATCAGCCATTGAGAGGCGAGTGTGGGGAGAGGCCAGTTGACATTGGAGTATGTGCCCTTTTTTGCTCATGGCCGTCTCCCAAAGGTGAGATCGGAGCCTTTGGAGCCTTTGCTTAAATGCTGGCTTGGTCAATTTTTTACATGCCGCACAAGAATGGGTTGAGTGTTGCTCGCCCATGCAGAATAAACAGCATTCGTGGCTGTCAGATAATGGGATCCTATTTGAATAGCCGACACACCTTTTAAAAGGAGCTGTTGAGGCCATAAAGAGCACGAAACCAGAGGGAGAGATGACTGAAGAGATGGGGGCGCGGCGGGAAGCCAAAAGCGGAAAAGGCAAAGAAACAGAACTGAGAGGGGAACGTCGACTAGTTGATTGGAAAATAGGAAGGTATCAATTTAGGTGTTGATTAGAAGAGGAAATACTAATATAGTTGCTAAAATTGCTCAGAAACACGCTCTATTCTTCTGGAGATCCGATCAGCACAGTGGAAGAAAGGAACTGAGGGGAATCTTAGGGGAACGTCGCAATAACTTTGTACTTTTAAGCTCTAGAATCTTCCGAGACATTTAGCGCAGATGTAGAACAACCCATTTGTGTGCATTCACAGAGGCCACAAAGAACAACAAGAGAACATCAGACAAAAATATTATAATGGAAAACAGTTCAGAAATCAAGACAATGTAACAGAATTATTTTGGGTAACTAGTTAGGTAAACATGCAGCATTCTTTGAAAGATTTCCTCGGATACTGTTGAGCTCTGTGCTATATTTGCATGCTTAATAAAAAACAATATAAAGTGGGTTGAGTCATCTTACCAGGCATAAGAGGATCTTCAATGCATAACATTGACGGGCGATATCCATTGGTCATGGCTTTCATGATTTCTTCTTTGGCAACATAGGCACCTCCATTTTTTATTCTAATACCAGTCTTCAAGTAATTAAAATTCCTTCCATAGAGTTCAAAAAATTCTATTAGAAGCATCCCAAGGTTTTCATTGCATCTTCTAGCATCAAATCGTGGATGCAACTACAAAAAGAAAACAAAAACGAATTTTTATTTTTATTAAGGGAATCTCTTGGATTCCAAGCTGATTTATACAAACTAAAACAAGCTTATATTATTTCAATGTATCATACCAGCTTCTTCCCATATTACAAAATGACAGCAAGTGCCAATGTAAAAGGATAATGTGTCTTTTTGAGGAAACTACACATTCTGGTGACATGACACTGACACAAATTTCTACACCCAGTTACCTTAAGGGACTTCTAAGTCTGGAAGGAGAACTGATGGGATAGTTCTGTCTGCCATACATGTCAGTTTCTACCTAGCCTGGGACCAGGGTCTCTGAAAAACTATAATCTCATATTAGAAGCTGACTCAGAATCTGAGACCCTTGGAGGAGGCCTTCCTCTCTATTCCACCATCAATACAGGATGTTTAGTGAGGATGATACCTGTCCCCAGTGCTGTCCTTCTGTTGGCAAAGACCTTTTCATTCTATCAGGAAAAACAAAATAAAAATAAAGAATAAAGACGACAAAAACATTGTGGCACCTTAAAGACACACTGTTATACTTTAACGTCAGCTTTTGTGAACATGTGTGAGGATGTGGGCTTGTCCACGAAAGCTCACACTGAAATATAGCAGTTAGTCTTTAAGGTACCACAACATTTTTTCTTTCTTATTTGGCTTCTATATCACCCATCTGAATATCACTCTGGCCGCCAATCTGGGCAGTTTACATAAGCATACAGAATTTTTTAAACAAACATAATAGTATACAATCAAAATAAGGATAAACAACCAACTTTTTAAATAATAGTAATTAAAGTAACATAAAATATTTTTGTTTTGCCTGGTATGCTAACACAGACTAACACAGCTACCTCTTCTAAAACTACAACTTTTCAACTACAGTCAACTTGGGTCCTTTTAAGGAGAAAGGCGGTGTAAAATATTTTAAATGCAATGAATAAAATAAATAAATAAATTCTATCAGACTATCAGCAGATGACTGGCCACTGAAGGAGAGGATTTTAATGGACTGGTATTGTGCCACATTATAAAAATCAGGTACTTCTTACGATGTATTTCATTCAACAGTGTTTTAATATTACAGTTAAATTGCAAAACTTCTAGGATACTTGTGCATGTTTCTATATGGATCTATTTTTATCTACAGTGGTGCCTTGCTTAGCGATCGCTCTGTTGAGCGACAAAATCGCTTAGCGATGGAGTTTTTGTGATCGCAAAAGCGATCGCTTTGCGATGGGCCCTATGGGGTTTTTTCACTTTGTGATGATCGCAGGGAAGCGATTGTTACATACAGCACTGATGGTACCTGTCATGGGTTTGGAGGGAAAGTTCCATCCTATGGGGAGTGGAAGGCGGGACATCAGGGGGAGGAGCTGTACTGTATATATATTTGGAGCTTGTGTGGAGATAAGAGTTGGAGTCTGTGTGTCAGACTGAGTACAACTGTGTGTCAGTTAGTACATACCTGATAGGTTCAGGTTTCTTTATAGGTAGCCAGAACTGATAGGTTCAGGGTCTGTGCTTTACTTTAAAGTGTTCTGTGTGAACCAAACTGTTGTATGTATGATTGAGACTAAGCCACGTTACAGTATCTTATTTACCTGATCTTTTTATTTACCCTGTTTGTTATTTAAATAAACCTTGTTCTTTTGTTTAGTAAAATCCATTCCTGGTCTGTGTGACTCCTTACAGGGAATGGTTGGTGGCAGCATAGTTAAAGTGTGGCATACTCCAGTAGGTCTGGGGTTGTCACATTGATCATGGCAAAGCGACCCTTTTTTAACAGCTGATCGGCGGTTTCAAAATGGCCGCCGGGAAAACAAAATGGCCACCCGCTGTGTTTCCTCGCTTTAGAGGCACCGAAAATGGCCGCCCCATGGAGGATCTTCGCTTAAAGGTTAGTTTTTAGCTCATAGGAACGCATTAATCGCGTTTTAATGCATTTCTATGGGCTTTTAAATATCGCTTAGCGATGAAATTGCTTAGCAACGTTTTTTCCGGAACAGATTAACGTTGCTAAGTGAGGCACCACTGTATATCTCTTTTAGTACAGTTGCAAACTGATTTGGAATATAAAGCAATATTTAAAACAAAACAAGTAAGAAAAGCAAAAGGAAACAGTACTGTCCAAAATCAAAGGATAATACCTGAATTCTAACTTTAGTTTATATAGATTTAAGTCTCTGGAGAAATTTTGAAGCATTTCCCAAATTATTTTTGAAAAAAAGTGAAATATGAGATGCTTTTTATGTTTTTCAAGAGAGGACTATCTAAACTTCTGAACTGGGAGCCCAGGACAATCAAACTGCAGGGTCCACAACCTTGCTGTACAGAATCATATGCCACAAGAAATTATAAAGGCATTTGAATTTAGTGAGTTACATCAATTTATTCACAGAAAATATGTCAGAAATATATGAATAGCTCAGTCACTAAAAATTTCACGCAGTACCAGGTATGACAGTCAGAGCATTATAACTCTGTAAGAAATTTCCTCTTCACTGACCACAGCAGGTTTTGTTTTGTTTTTTTGGTACAGAGAAGTCCTTCAGACTGCTCTACAGACTGATTCTATTATCTTGGCACAATGTCCACACGGCTGTTTGTTACAAGACTCGTGTAAGAGTAGATAATGGAGACATCAGGCACTAAGGGAAATCTACAGTTGATACATAAGCCCTTGAAACAAAATAATCCAGGTAAATAAACAAGAATTACTCACAATTATTTTAAGGAACTTTCTGAAACACAAACACTAATGGCAAAGAACATACCTGTAAGAAGCTAATTGCCATTAAAATTAGGCTATAGGAGCTAATTCCACCGGTAAAAACTTCATTCAAATCCCTCTGAAGAAGAAACTGTTTTAATACTAAAATCAAGTAAGGCAGCACTGTGTATTTCTGCAAGTGAAAAGAGAAGTTAGTGTTCTATACAACAAATTCTAGAAGAAAAATGCTGTGGTTAAATTTATTTATTATGATGTATAAAGGAATTAATATCACAAAAATAAATAAAAGGAGTAGAGACGTTTTATGCATTCTTGGTCACACAATACCTATCAGCCCCTGGTTGTCTAACAGAGCTACTATTTCTGCTTTATTCACTCCTTCATTATCTAGAATCATGTGAAAGAGTTTAATGTATTAAAATATTGTGAATTCTAACAAAAAAATACAAATAGTCACAGGTATTAAAAACATTACATCAATTAAGATCCAAGGATGGGCAGGAGGGAGGACTTAAGGGTTTTCAGCTCCTCCTACACACTCTACCCATGCCCAAAAATGGCCAAAAGCAGTGATTTCAGAAAACAAAGCAAAAACAAGAACGGTGTGATTTAACTTTTGCTATTTGTTTTGTTCTCGGGATCTCTTTTATGGTAGGGTGTCTTGGGGTACACCTCAAAGCCCCAAAAGTAAAACTGCTGTTCCTGGGGCCTTGTTTTGGCCAAAAGGCCATTTTCTGAAAACAATTTGCTAATGCTTTTGTTATTTTTAAATGAGTTCTAAGTCAATTTTAAGTTTTATGGTTAATTCTTTCCCCCTTAATGAGCTTTGTGGGCCTCAAAATGCCCCTGGTAGGAGCCAGCATGATGTGGACTTCCTCTCACTGACAGATGTGCACATAAGTAATTGCTGCTACTGAGCCTCTAGGTATGTGATCCATCCCACACCGAGTCTGCTGAAGCCTTTGCCTCTGTTACAGAACCAGGTAGCAGTGGCCACAGACTAAGAATCGCAAGATCCATCACAACTGCGAACCAGTCTCCCTGAAGAAAATGCACTTTTGCAGGAGTCTTGCTACGAGATACAAAGGAGTGGTTGTTGCATGGACAATTTGTGACCTCTTCTTCCCTTCTGGCATTACTGTTCTAGTGTACAGTATTCTCCCTTCAGCAAGTAACTGCTAAAAAATACTTCTTCACAGAAGGTCTATCCTCTTTTGTTGCGATCTGTCTCAGCCAATCTCTTTAGATGTTCCTTAATCACTGACTGTGCTCCACTGTGAGAGGTGAGATTGGTTTTCAGCAACATCACAGCTTCATTTCAGGCTTCTGAAAGAACTTGCTTTTCTCACCAACACATGCTTTGGTAATCACATAGTAATCAGTTTGGATCCAGCTATGAAGTTAAGGCTAGATGCACCTCTCGAAACAACTCATGCTAGAGAAATATTTGTTACTATAAGACAAGGGAAACTAGAGTAGACACTGTGAATGCAGAAACTGTTGATACAAATTACCGTGGCATCATTTAATTTAACTAGGTATATGAAAAACATGAACACCACAGTATCTCCAGTGTCAAGCTGAATCATCTTGTCTTTGCTCTTCTGAGAACAGTGTCTGTCTCCAGTATGTGTTGGAGCCTCTGTATTTGAAGAGTACCTTACAAAATAATGATGGCTGACAGATTATGTACCACATATTCTTATACACTTGACACTGAATCTAACCTGGAAATTCTGTCCAAATAAGGGTAGATGTGTAGCTTCTCTATTCTATGGTTCACCATTTCCTTTGTGAATTTACTGTGAATACCTTTCCTGGGATTAAAAAAGACAGGGCACTGTAGTGATACTGCATTTCCCCCAAAGGAATACATCAAGAAGAAATTGGATGCAAGCATGTGACTCATGGAGGTAAATTATTAAACCCTCAAAATCACTTGACTGCTGTTTTTTTCCCTAAAGTTCTGTTTCACAGTGTGAAGTTTTTCAGGACTCTGAGAGCAAAAATCATTATTTTATTTTGGGACAACACAGAAAAAGTTGGAGCATTTTCTGGAAAAGCAGGATTATTCTACAACACCTATGTTTACTCATTATGTATGTGATTCTGAGACACAAGAAGGGCAGTCCAATTCTTATGTCTGAGGAAGTGGACTTGTCCATGAAAGCTCACATTAAAATGTTAATCTTAAGGTGCCACAACATTTTTGTCGTCGTCTTCTTGCCTAACAGGAAGGGTGGAGAAACCTTCCCCAAGAAGGCTTGCAACAGATATACATTGCTTCCAGTAGCCACCAACCCATGCTCACAGAAACTCAAATGTCCTCAAGTCACCTTTTCTCTAAAGGAATAGATGTCTTCACATGTGACTTTTCAGGATAGGCTTTAGCAGAAGTGTCTCAAAGATCAAACCATAACCACTTAGAACACTGGTTCCAAAACAGGGTAACATATCCCACTGGATGGCATGAATAAATTCCAATTGGGAAAGCGATGTAGATAGTTCTATTTTTATTTTTAATTTAACTTATGCAATTTTTGTTAAAAGAGAGGTGCATGATGGTTAAAGAGAAATGGGGAGACAAGAGGATTTATCAAAAATTAAAACAGGACACGATGCCAAGGTTTGAAAACTATCAGCTTCGAAAGATAACTCTTGTGATTGTCAGTGACGTCCCACTGAAATGAAAAGGCCTGTGAGGAGGAAGAATGAGGGCTTCTAGTTTAAGATTAGACAGTTTACACTAAGGAGACTTTTTTCTCTCATTGGTCTACAGCAGCACTAGAAATTGGCATTTGAGAAACAAATGCCAATGTCTACCATGGAAAGACAAGGTGGAAAGTTAGCCTTGAGTTATCGGTTCACATGATAATCTTTGAGCCATAAGTTCTGCAAATAATTGCCCAGATGCCTACTAAGAACAGAGACCCATCAATGGGTCTACCATGAATTCTGTTACCTTTCTCACTGTTTTGTGATGTTCCCTAGGCATGCTAGGCCCTAGGATACACGAAGCCTGAAGAAATTTGGAACTGGATGTTCAGCCCACGTCTATAATGTGGAAGCTCTCACCAGGATGGAGCACATGGCAACTGCTCATATAAAAAACAAGGTTTCATGGTTTTTAACAAAACAATGCTGCTACTTTGTTTTTTGGGATTTCTCACCCTCTGAGGACACCTCAGATGTAAGGATATAGTAATGAAGTCATCAACCACCAGAACCTATACACTGTCCACAATGTTTGAAGAAAGGTTAGAGAATGATTGGTTAAAATTATTCAGTACTGTATTTTTCTGTGTATAAGACAATAGTTTTGTCTAAAATCTTTAGACTAAAAATTGAGGGTCGTCTTATGCATGGAAGTAAGGTGAGGAGAGAAGAAAAACAAGTTGAGGGGGAAAGGGATCAAAGCAATCCCGCAGCTGCATGAAGGGGAAAGGGATCAAAGCGATCGTGGAGCTGTGGGGTTGCTTTGATTTCTTTTGCCCTCCACTTACTAAGCCCTACTTAGATTTCTTAATTTTGGGTTAGAAAAGGGGGGCTTATACATGGGACATCTTATACATGGAAAAATGCGGTACATTGGGCTAGTTGGGTTACATCAGGTTAATGGATACCAGTTAAATAATCTTGGGAAAAGTGCCATCAGATGTTAGGTAAGATAGGGGATTATGAAGTGTACTTAGTATCTGCTATCTGATGCTCAAAATGGCATTTGAACACAAAATCTATTTTCTGATATTAATTTTCTGCCAGTTGCAGTATATTACTAAAATTCTAAAAACAGAGAAAATATTAGGATATAGCAAATGTTGTTCTTTTGCTCTTTTACTTTACCTTCATATAGTCTTTGATAAGTTGAGCTGCCTTCACACCAGTTTCCACATTAAAACTAATGTCAACTTTCACTTCTGTTTCCTGGTCAGTAAGTTTTATTATTGGTACCTGAAAAAGTAGTTAAATCAGTTGTTAAAACAATGCTAACAAGTATCTAGAAGCTGAGTCAAGGCAACTGGACTTCTTTATTAGGTTGAAACGTTTCGCTACTCATTGAAGTAGCTTCTTCAGTCTGAGGAGTTTGTAGGAGACCCCTGATATATCCTCCATGTTGGTTTCATTTCCCCCTGGTCTGAATAGGCTCGTTAGATGGACAAAGGGCGGGTGTATGTGAGTGAAAATCCCACTTCTGCAGTAATTCTCCACACACTGTCATGGGTCATTCACAGTCATAATGGTCTTTCTGGTGGGTGTGGTCCTGTTCCTGATCTCTCTTCAGAATGAAAAAGCTACTTCCATGAGTAGTGAAACGTTTCAACGTAATAAGAAAAGTCCAGTTGCCTTGACTCAACTTCCAGATAACCTCACCTGGATGACTAGGAATCTTCACAAGATAATGTCAACAACTAGTCTATCATTTTTGGGGGTTGATCATTTAGTCCATCAAGTCATTTTAAAAAAAAAACATCCAAACTCAGCCTGTAATAGAGACCTGGGCAAAGTGTGGCCCGAGAGCCACATACGGCCCGCAAGCCACTCCTGTCCAGCCCGCAGACAGTTTTGAACATCAAAACCATTTATAGCTTTTTGTCTAAAGTTGATCAGTTGCTTATCTTTAACATACCGCAAAAAACCTCTTTAGTATTTGTGAAGATTAACAAGTTTAAAATAAAAACAATCATAACATCACTGTTTCATTTAATTTTTAAGTAAAGTTGGTTTAGCCCCCAAACACAGTTCAGATTTTTCATGTGCCCCCCCAGTAGAAATTAATTGCCCACCCCTACTGTAATAGCAACTTTATACTGTATTGGATAAATGCTAGAGTGGAGAACAACTGGCTCCCCAATTGTTGCTGGACTCCAACTTCCATCAGCACTACCCAGCATGACCAATGACCAGAGACTTACCGTATTTTTCGCACCATAAGACGCACTTTTCTCCCACAAAACAGGGGGGTGGAAAGTCTGTGCGTCTTATGGAGAGAAGAAAACAGATTATATTTTCCTGTTTTCTTCTCCTAAAAAATTGGTGCGTCTTATGGAAAGATGCGTCTTATGGAGCGAAAAATACGGTAGTCTATGTTTCTCTAACATTTTTACAAAGGAATGCCTGCAAAAAGTGTTAGAAAACTTCAACTAATGAAAAACAAATTTCCAAGAGTTTATTTATTTATTCAACTTGTATGCAGCATGTGACTCTAGTACTATTCCATTTCTACCAACTTTTCGTTTGCTTTTCAGAGCTATTCAAGTTCTTTTTTTCTTTTTTTACTTTTGAAATCTTTAACCATTTGGGACCAGAGTACTTGGACTCTTTACCTGTTTCTTCAAATGTTTGGGGAAGCCTTGTCTTGGTATACACTGTTAACATTCAATTATTTTGACAACCAGGTGGTAGAACTCCATCTGGGGAGATCAAACTGGTCTCTGGGATTAGATGAATGGTTCTGAACCATGAATTTCTTTGACTGCAATTCCCAGAAGCCTCCACTACCAGCTATGCTGGCCAGGATTTCTGGGAATTGCAGTCTAGGACTCCTAGGTTACTCACGGTTGGGAAACACTGGTTTAGATAGATGACAACCCAAAATATTTTTATCCTAGTAGATACATGGCTTGGCTTGCTTCTTAATTTTTAAAATATTATGCTTCTGATTACTTGTTACATTATTCAGCCTGATTTTGGCTCAATACATTACTATTTGTAAGTTAGAATGTCAGCAGCTAACTTGAGAATCTTAAATGTAAATTAGAAAGTAAAGCTATACATATTAGCAAAAATATTTTGTCTCTGGGATTGATTTATTTTGTTTCCACCACAGATGTAAAGACCAGGAGGAAAAGACACAAAAGAAAGCTCCTGAAGAGTTAACACACTTTAACTATTGATTGCAACTGAGTAAGACGGTGTTTCATATTTCACTTCCATTTTGGTCACATTCTCTAATGTAAAGTAAGACCAGAAGTAGCAAATAACATCAGGTCCTTTTAAAATAAGTCCTGATATTTAGTGCCTTAAACATGAGAAATAGTGATTCAGGGATTTCTTGTAGATTGATTCACTTACATCAAAGGCACTCACTTCTCAGTGCATTTACCATTAGAATGCTAAACACCACCTCCTCTTCTATGGCAATGCCCTAGTCTAAAAACAGCATATGTATCTGTTTACTGAGAGTTCAAGTAACTGACTTGAACCTCTGAACTTTTAAAGGTGGTGACAGTACTAGAGATTTAAGTTGAAAGAGAAAGGTGTTATTTTACCTTTTTAACTTGAGAGAAAAATGAGAGGAGAGAAAAAGTGAAACTCTGAGGATGCCATTAAACAAAGGCTGCCTGCAAACTTTGTTTCAGAGTAGTGTGGTATCTAACGTAAGTCCCCATCAAAGATTATGACTCATAAGCTAAAGGCAGCCTAATATGTGCCAAGAGTAATCTTTAAATGTCAGCACCAGCAAAGCTGGGGACAGCAGAGATGCTACACCATTTGTAAATGATGATGTCAAGATCTTAACTCAGGAACTTAAATAACAAAAACAAAGGAAAATGAACTGCACTGTTTGCAATACAAAAGAAGATTCAACACCAAGACATAAAGATGGTCCTTGAGTCAGTATCAAGACGTCTGAATCAGATTAAGTAATGTATATGACAAATGTTTTAATGTGTGTTATGTGCCATCAAGTTGGAACTAACTTATAGTGACGCTAACAGTACTTTCAAGATGAGATATGAATGAAGTGATTTTCCATCATTTCCAAATCTGTTTCCACCCAAATCTGTTTATCACTCAATCCATTACACCATACTGGGTAACCTATGACAAATGTTAGGTAAAGTTAAAGGTAAAGGTTCCCCTTGACACTTAGTCCAGTCATGTCTGACTCTAGGAGGCGGTGCTCATCCCCGTCTCCAAGCCGTAGAGCCAGTGTTTGTCCGTAGACAGTTTCCGTGGTCATGTGGTCAGCGCGACTAGACACAGAACGCTGTTACCTTCCCACTCACATTTACATGCTTTTGAGCTGCTAGATTGGCAGGAGCTGGGACAAGCGACAGGAGCTCACTCCGTCGTGTGGATTTGATCTTACGACTGCTGGTCTTCTGACCTTGTAGCACAGAGGCTTCTGCGGTTTAACCCACAGCGCCACCACATCCCAGGACAAATGTTAGCTACTAAAAAATCAGCTTGAGCATTAACATGAATGGAACTTATTGAATAAAGTGCAGCCCTCCAGATGTTGAATGACTATTCCATCATCCATTCCTTCACTGAGCAGGGCGATTATAGCTGATGTGAAACAAAGTCAAATAACATCTGATAGGGAAATGCTCTTCCTTATCAGGACAGATTTATGTTCTAGGAAGTCTGAAGAAGGCACATGGAGCAGCTTTGAAAGAAAGTGCCAAAATGGGCAAAGCAGGAATATTTGTATATTGCTAGAGTAGCTATAGGGTGGCTCAAAAGCTCCAATCGCACTTGGGCCAGTTAAGGCACCCCTACAAATTCCAGAAGTTTGCTTCAGTGTTATCAAGTCAACATTTGTGGCACTGGAACAAAAATACTTGGTGTTAGTTGCTGCACTTCCCCCCAAAACAAAACAAAACAAACAAACAAAAAACCAAAGGTGAGAAGCACCAAAACCAGAACAAGATTGACACCTGAAGCTTCAATGAAAGAAAAATTATGCCCTGGAAATTCCAGTTACTGAATCTGGGGTTCCTCTGCAATGGGCTCGAATCACCCCTATGGACTCCATACACCCAGCCACCAATAGCAATGTCCAGGCATGGCAAGTTGATGGTGGCATATCACTTCTTATATAGATCTGCCTTTTATTTTAGATAGATAAGACAAATTTTCATTACACTTAGGAGTGAGTATGTGGGTAAATGTGCAATGAAAATCTGACTCTGTTTCTTATATGGTTTCTCATTGGGTAGGTCAAAGTACAGTTAAGGACTATTCTTCTCCAACACCACTGCCAATGTCTACTTTCTTTAATCTTTTAATATGTGCTGCTACCCTTCATTTGAAATTATCATTTTCTTGCTCTAGGTTCCAAATATGTACCACTTTGATTTGACCTAGGCAATGAACAGGCACACTTGAGAAAGCCAGCCTACTTACTGGAGATACTAATAGGAGATTTTCCACATCCCTAACATATATTTCCCAGAGTGTGACCGCCGGCGGAGACTGGAAGGAAGGAAGGTGATACAAGCTCTGCCTACAACCTGGAGATCCATCTATTTCCCAAGTTCATAGCCCTCTATTTTGCGTATTTTTTCTCTCAAACCAGAAACATACACAAATCTACAAATGCCTTGAAAGAGTCACCATAAGTTAGAATTGACTTGATGACACACATTTTTATTATACTAAATACTTTCAGAAACCTGAGATCAAATCAGTTCAGTCCACCTCAAACCAGCTTGACCCCACATTTTATAGCAAATATTTGGATACAAATCAAACTGGATGTAATTTGCACACTCCAAGTTTAAAGATGAGATGAAATAATTTGAACTAGATGTTTAAGGAAAATAAAAATTAAATGAAAATATGAAAATTGTGGACAGTTCGGGAGAACACAGTCATAAAGAGTGGATGTTATTAACAAGTAATAATTTCCAACTTTGGGAAATGTTAGGAGGTCTAATGGAGGATAAAACTAAAAAGAAGTTCTCCAAAATGCAGATGACATTTTAGGGAAATATGGAATGCATAGGTAAAAGTTATTCTGAGAAAAACAGTATAAAAAAGGGAAGAAAATCTGGAAGTGCTGCAAATAAAATGACTACAAGGAGAACTTTAATGGAACACTTTGATTGAATTCCAGCATTGAGCAGGGGGCTGGACTTGATGGCCTTGTAAGCCCCTTCCAACTTCACTTTTCTATGATTCTATACAAAGCAGTATTGTTACTACAGAAACTGAAAGTTTCAGAATTTTATTTGATAGAAGGATAGACCTTTTCACTTGAAGCAATGCTAACGTGCCTAGTACAAAATAACTGAAACAGATGTAACTCCATAGATGATGTTTCTCACATATCCAAGTGTTGCATCATGAATTTTTGGGACAATTTTTTCTGCACTATGCATAAAAGGGTGATGCACAGTCTGAGGAAGTGGGATTTTACTCAGAAAAGCTTCCGATTTATGTGATATTTTAGTGGTTCAATAAAGGTAACACCTAACTCCGGCATTTGTGTAATCCTGAACCACATCAGCCTTTTCCTAATTCCAACATGAATGCTGTATATCCTAAGGACTACAATAATGATCATTTATGTCATTGGTTACATACAAAGTCAGTATCCTAGCAAGTATTTGCTAAATAGAATGCCAACGCAGCAATGAGAGACCACACTGCTTGTATAAGCAATGTCACTGCTCACACCATAATCTCCATGAAAAAACCTATTCGTCACTTGTGCAAGCAAAACAAATCCCACATTATTACACCAGCAGGACCTTCTTGCTCAATGGAAATCCAACAAGATACTGGCCACAATGTCTAAGTATCCTGCATATAAGTTAAATAAGCAGGAAGACAATATACAGCCTTGTCGTACTCCTTTCCCAATTTTGATCCAATCGGTTGTTCTATATCCAGTTCTAACTGTTGCTTCCTGTCCCACATATAGATTTCGCAGGAGACAGATTAGGTGGTCAGGCACTTCCATTTCTTTAAGAACTTGCCATAGTTTGCTGTGGTCAACACAGTCAAAGGCTTTTGTGTAGTCAACAAAGCAGAAGTAGATGTTTTTCTGGAACTCTCTGGCTTTCTCCATAATCCAGTGCATGTTAGCAATTTGATCTCTAGTTCCTCTGCCCCTTCAAAATCAAGCCTGTACTTCTGGGAGTTCTTGGTCCACATACTGCTGAAGCCTGCCTTGAAGGATTTTGAGCAAAACCTTACTAGCATGTGAAATGAATGAGGCTATCTGCTACCGTGCATTAAATAATTTCCTTCCACTGGTGTAACTATGCAACAAGATTTTGGCTTTCTAAAGCAGAAAGATCTAGTAATTTATTGGGGGAACACTAGCACATAACATTTATTTCATAAGTAAAATTAAGATTCAAATGTTACTGCTACTAAGTGATATACAGGCGTACTTCAGTTTAATGCGTTCTCCAGGACGTTTTACAATGCGAAAAACTCACAAACCAAAACGTGGTTTCCCATAAGAATGCATGCACAGGGTGGCGCTATAAACCTCCTGGGGCAATGCAAATTTGCTTTGTATTGTGTAAAAAATTTGTAAACCAAGGCATTATTTTCAATGGATTTTCATTCGTAAACTGAAAATTATGTTAACCGAGGTGTTCGTAAACCAAGGTACCACTGTAAACAGTTGCGTCAGCTATCTGGGTCCTCAGGATCTTTACTAATGAGAACTGAGAAAAAAATAAGATGCTTTTTAAAATGACTAATGGTAAACATAATTTTATCTTCAATCTTTTTTACGTCAAATTAAATATAATGTATTTCATCTACTTACCGTAGCTTTATCAAGTACTTTAATTGAATATGGCTCAGCCACATTGTGTTTCCTTAGTGCTTGTTCCAGCTGCTGTAGAGGTGGACACTCCCATTTTCCAAAAACCACTAAATCAATATCACTGTAGTAAATAAAAACAAACAGATTCCTATTTACAAACTTTGATATTATACATCCCTGAAAACGGAGCAAAGTGTGCTGATGAGAACAATGAACATCTATTACACAATTTGGGAGGATTTAAGATCCCCCAATGACAGTGTAATACATATAGGCAAAAACTGTTACATCAGAGCCTCAGCCTAGAGTATGCTGCACAAGTCTTGCTGGAATAAACATATACATATTTCAATAATGAGAAAATATCCTTCATACATATCTAAGGATGTGGAAGAAATAAATTTTAATCCACAAAAACCCTTACTAAAACAACTATCACCATACTACTGTTTCTTATTTGTTTGCTTTTTGTGAAACAGATTAACATGGCTCTCTCTCTCTGAAAACTCATGTTTTCCAAGCTTCTTGTTTTATCATATGATCCAATAAAGTGATTAGACTGCCGGACTGGTATTTAAGAGATTCGGGTTCCAATTCACAGTGAGATATGAAACTCATTATGTGATCCAAGACTAATCACCTTTTCACACTCAAAGGCTATCCTTTTGAGTATATAGCAAGTTGCAGCACTACATGCACTGCCTCAAGTTTACTGGAGGAAAGATAGGATATAAATGTAAATCATCCTAATCTGTGTAAAATGTATAATTCATGTTGCCAAATTGTTTAATTGGTTTTAATAAGGAATTAAGTAAGACATTTGGATCTTAATATACATAACTGGTTCTACTTGTATTACAGCATGTGCTGTGTTTCCCCGAAAATAAGACAGGGTCTTATATTGATTTTTGCTCCAAAAAATGCATTAGGGTTTATTTTCAAGGAATTTTTTTCATGTACAACAATCTACATTTATTCAAATATAGTCATGTCATCTTCTGGTTGCTGCACAATGGTGGAGGGCGGGGCTTCACTTCACTGGGGCTTATTTGGGGGTAGGGCTTACGTTACGAGCATCCTGAAAAATCATACTAGGGCTTATTTTCAGGTTAAGTCCTATTTTTGGGGAAACGGTGTAAACCTAATATCTATAAAATAATGGTTAAGACAGATTTATTTCATGTATACACATGCATGCACATTATTTTCTACATATTCATACTATTTCATTGAAGACTGCAAATTATGGAAGTCAGCAAATGCCAACAAATAAAGGAACAATATTCCAAAGTGCTAAATGCTCCAGAACTACTTAATATGTGCTCAATATTCATACATAGAGCTGAAATGATCAATGTCCCAGACAATTCTGGTTAAATTCGGATTTGGCTATGAACAAATGTTTTAATTCCTTTCTGCTTGGATTATGGCAACTTACTCTATACGTGGCTGTCTTTGAATGGTTTCTGGAAATTTTGCATATCTTATGCTTCATCAAGTCACTTAGAGTGAAACTATAAATTAATAACGTCCAAAAGATCCCACCCTTAACTGCCACACTCAGATTTTGCAGACAAACAGCTGTGAATTCCTTCATTAGGTCTACCACTTTCCCTACTACCTTCAACTTTTCCTAACATTATTATCTATTCCATTGAGTTTTGTCTTCTCATGATATGTCCAAAGTACAACAGCACCACTGTAGTCATTTTAGCTTCTATTGAGAGTTCAGGTTTGATTTGACGTCGAATCCACTCATCTGTCTTTCTGGCAGTTGATGGTATTTCTGAAACTCTCCTCCAACACCATATTTCAAATGCCGATTTTCTTCCTTTCAGTTTTCTTCACTGTCCAACTGTCACATCTGCATGTAGTAATCAGAAATACCATCTGAATGAGCTTCACCTTCATCTCCAGTGGCACATACTTACTCTTAAGGATCTTTTCTGGTTCTTTCCTGGCTGCCCTTCCAAGTCTTAGTCTCCTTTTGATTTTTTTGATGTAACTTTCATTTTGGTTAATGACTGAACCAAGGCTCATGAAATCTAACTATTGCTTTACTCTCCCTCACTAACCTGCTTGGCACTTTCTTCTTCAACATTCATCAATGATCCTTTCAGTTCATTGCTATTTTCTACCAACAATGTGGTGTCATGTGCATATTCTGAGTTACTTATGTTTCTTCCTCCAATTTTCACTCGTCCATCTGAATCTAATCCAGTTTTGCATATGATCAGAAACTTTAGCTTGTCCTAAATGTTGCAGCCAAACTGTTGACATGGGCCAATTACAGGCAGCATATATCTGTTCCACTGGCTACTCATCTTTTGCCAAGCATAATTCAAAGTATAAAGCTTTATATAATTTGAATCAGAACTATTTAAAGAATCATATTTCTTCATACGAAAACCTCTGGATTTTAACATTTATAGGAGAGGCTTATCTTGGTTTGGCCACCTTGAAAAGCATATCTGATGAGGAGATGAGAGTGGCTTTCTGCTGATCCCAGACTATGAAACTCCCTTCTAAGAGAGACTACCATGGCCTCCTTCCTGCTAGCCAACAAACAAACTTTCTTTGCAGGCAACTGAAGAACTGCTGGAAAAGGAGTTGCAATGGATTACTCTCTCCTGATGTATTTTACAATTATTTTAAATGTATGGTTTTAAATTAGCAGTCCTTTAATATTATCTTAGCTGCATCTTAATAATTTACTTCCCAGAATCCTGTATGTCACATCATAACATAAAACTGTCCAGAAGCAACTTTGCTGGGCTCTATGCAAACATGGATTGAGCTAGACAACTGCATAATTTGTCAAGCAGTTCCAATTATGGCCACATGCAATACACAGAACTGATTTCTGCTTTGGGGATATTACAGCTATCACTTGAATAACTTTGGAGTTATACAAGTGTAGATATTAACATTTCAGACACTGCATGTTAGCACGATCTCTTTCTTAATCACTTTGTATGCTGCTTTTTGTCTACTGGGTGAAAGGGTGGGATAAATCTGTTCCTCTTTAAGGACAGTGATGGTGAAGATATGTTAAGACGTCTATTGCACACTATACTCCAGCTAAACCTACATTCATGTAACTTAAGTAATAGTTAATTATCTTAGAACTCACCTAGTTGGCAGATAAAGTCCTGTGCTAAAACTTCCAAATATCTGAACCTGAAAAAGAAAAACATAGTCAGTACTGTTTTACTGTTGAGATACCAAACTTGGAAAATCTCAAAGAAATGTGCTTTGTCTTAATCTGCAGAAATGTACACAAAGCACTTGCTGATATCTAATTAAACCAGATAATTTAATCAAACTAGACTTGTACTTTTTCCATAAGATTGAAATAGAATTCTGCCAGTTTCACATGGCCCTTTTCACAGCCCCTACTCACCTCCCCTGATATCCATCCATCCATGAGAATTCCATCCAAATATGAGAATTATACCTCCAGAAAGTACAATTCTCCTTTAACCAGTGTGTCCACCCTTTACTGTTTTTCTTTTTTTAAAAAACAACTACAGTTTTAAAAATCTGGAATTGACCTCTGCTTTCATTTCAGCTCAGTGGTTTACTGGCTTCAGAGCCAGAGGTTGGGACTTCAATCCCCACTGTGCCTCCTACAAGAAGAGGCAACCTTTGTAATCATGCGCAATCATACGTATAGTCAAAAACAAACTGATAGCATCTGCATAGTCCCTGGATGCAACCTGAAGAAAGAAATGGTAAATCACTTCTATGTACTGTATTCTCTAATTAGAAAACCCTGGAAGGGGTTGCCATAAATTGGAATTGAATTGACAGCATGCAATAATTATTAAGTTAGCTTCACTCTGAGAGACTGATGTAGTTCACTGGGTAGAAAATCTGCCACAGAATATCCAAGGGTATCTCCTACTATCTATGAGGGCTCCTCCCATATGAGAACATGCTGGTGTGGTCCACAAGTTATGCTACCTCATCAACATGGTCTGCCAATCAGAAATATTTCATAAACTCTTTGCTGCAATGTTCACGACTTCCCTTTCATGGTTCCATTTAACCAACTGAGATATCCTCTCCATCTTGCTTAGTACTGAGACAGCATGTGCCCAGATCAGATGGACAGTGCAATACTGATTTTACTTGAAGGCACTGACTAATTGCCATTTCTCACACCCATTCTAAGAGAAGGGTAAATGAAAAACAAGAATGCTGCTCTGATGCAGTGTTTCCATCCCACTGTAAAAAATGTAAATTGTTTTTATATGGCTGTTTTAGAAAAAAAAGGGTGAAAGGATTGTTTGTAATCTTCATGAAAAAAATCATATTCGTATATGAAGGTGGTGACTATACAATACTTGGGTATTGTATATCAGGGTACATATTTCAAATAAACAGAGTCAGAAAGCACTAAGTTTCATACAGATTGTAACAAGGTGGTATAGCGCTGAGGCAGAACTCAGTTCCTCTTATTTGAGGAATGTATATAGCTGCCCTGCTGTAGAATCAGAAAGAAGTTAAGGTAGGAAACAGAACACTAGTTTGGGATATACTCACATCAGCCACAGGCCAAAGATCTTTGATGACAGCTTCTATTCTTTTTACTACTTCTTTTCTCATAACTGCTTCTTCAGGACGAGGAGACATAAAGTCATAAAAATCAATTATTTCTTCATGGAGCCTAAAGGAGAGAAGAAAGAAGTAAGCAGAAACAAAGAACACACTTCTAGAGTTAATCTCATGACTAATCTGCGATTTGAAATAGGGTTTCCAAAAACCTAGTAGACATTGTATTATACTGGGATTTTATTTTCAAATAGTTTTTAGAAACTTAATAAAAATGAATGAAAGATAGCTATATTTCACAAGCCAAATGCTCTTCTATGGTTCTAGGATTAGAAAGTTGCTCCTAAATTATGAGATCCATAGTTAGTTCAACACAGTATTTTCCGTTGGTTTATTTATAATCTTAGAACTGAACTGTAATAATAAGAGTAACTGTATGAGGTTCTACAGAACTGTAGTTTTTATTCCACACAACACAAAATGTGCAACCTTCATCATTAAAGATTAGATGCTACTAAAAGTAATCACTAGAGACCAAATTGCTAACATGTGCTGGATTATGGAGAAAGCCAGAGAATTACAGAAAAACATCTGCTTAATTGACTACACGAAAGCCTTTGACTGTGTCGACCACAACAAAATATGGCAACTTCTTAAAGAAATGGGAGTGCCTGACCACCTTATCTACCTCCTGAGAAATCTATATGTAGGACAGGAAGCAACAGAACTGGATATAGAACAACTGATTGGTTCAAAATTGGGAAAGGAGTATGACAAGGCCGTATATTGTCTTCCTGCTTATTTAACTTATATGCGGGATACATCATGAGAAAGCCAGGACTGGATGAATCCCAAGCCGGAATTAAGATTGCCGGAAGAAATATCAACAACCTCCGATATGCAGATGATACCACTCTGATGTCAGAAAGTGAGGAGGAATTAAAGAACCTCTTAATGAGGGCGAAAGAGGAGAGCGCAAAAAACAGTCTGAACCTCAACATCAAAAAAACTAAGATCATGGCCACTGGTCCCATCACCTCCTGGCAAATAGAAGGGGAAGATATGGAGGCAGTAAGAGATTTTACTTTCTTGAGCTTCATGATCCCTGCAGATGGTGACAGCAGCCCCAAAATTAAAAGACGCCTGCTTCTTGGGAGGAAAGCGATGACAAACCTCAACAGCATCTTAAAAAGCAGAGACATCACCTTGCCAACAAAAGTCCAAATAGGCAAAGCTATGGTTTTTCCTGTAGCGATGTATGGAAGTGAGAGCTGGACCATAAAGAAGACTGACTGCCGAAGAATTGATGCTTTTGAATTCTGGTACTGGAGGAGACTCTTGAGAGTCCCCTGGACTGCAATGAGAACAAACCTATCCGTTTTGAAGGAAATCAACCCTGAATGCTCACTGGAAGGACAGATCCTGAAGCTGAGGCTCCAATACTTTGGCCATCTCATGAGAAGACTCCATGGAAAAGCCCCTGATGTTGGGAAAATGTGAGAGCAAGAGGAGAAGGGGACGACAGAGGACAGGATGGTTGGACAGTGTCATCAAAGTTAACAACAAGAATTTGACCCAACTCCGGGAGGCAGTAGAAGACAGGAGGGCCTTGCGTGCTCTGGTCCATGAGGTCACGAAGAGTCAGACACGACTTAACGACTAAACAAAAACAAAAAGTAATCAAATTTACTTTTGAGTAAACAAACTCAAGATTCTACCGTGAATCGATGCATATTTGTTCACATTTATTGCACATTAACCGGTCTTCTGAAACCCTCTAGTTTCTCCTACTTTCTAAATTTAACTGTAAGTGCCTTGTGCCTAGAGCCTGTTCTTATTGCTTACAATCTTCCACAAAACACCATATAGCACTTTTACTGCTATATAAATAAACAGAAAATATATAATGGGGACCAGCAACAAAACACTACTTTTACAAAGGGTTCTTTTCAGTGTTCCAGTCATTCAGTGACATCCTTTACCATTATTCCACCCTCCCTACTAAACTTGCAAAATTGCTTTTTCAATGTCTCTCTTAATAAACAACTTATATCTCATGGGCACTGAGCACATTCTCCTTCCTGCTTCCTACCGTGGGTTTTCTTGCACTTTTGCAAACCTTGAAGCTCACTCAACTCCCAATCCCTCCTTTCTTCTGCATGGACAGGACCATTTTTTCTATGTAAAGATCCATATTAACCTCTGTACTTCAAAAATAGAGAAAATGACAGCATGTATTCATTCATCTCTGTAAGAATGTCTGCAAACTAAACTGATGAAATCTGTAGTTTAAAAAGTCCTGTGAAATGTCTAGCCATATACTGTACTTCTCTCCAACTGTAGTGATTATGTAATTTGGAAAAAATGCAATACCTAGAAAAACAGCTTGTGTGCAGGCAGTAAAATAAACAAACCGAACTGAACTGAAATTCAGTTTGGTGAATCCTCACAATTACAATGAATAAACAGAATTCTATGAATATTAAATGCTTTAGCATTAAATGAACTGACTTAATATGAAATAAATTAATTATGATTTATATTTAAAAGTTTCTAACTACATTCTAATTTCCTCACTGTACTCGAGAACAATGATTTTGGGATATAGCACTTTCGAAAACAATATAGTTCGTTCTTAAGCTAAATATTATATAGTAATACTCAAACTGACTCACAAGGGGAAATCTGAAATCTTTCTTTCTTTCTTTCTTTCTTTCTTTCTTATACTTATACTCCACCCTTCTACCTAAGAGAAGCCAAGGTAACTTACAATATTAAAACAAACAATATTCAAAACTGTAAAACAAACAAACAGCAGCTCCATTTTTAAGAACCTCACTTAGGCAACCAGTCACTAAGAAAAAGCCCATCTGAAGGGAAAAATCTTTACTAACTTATAGAAAGACAGCAAAAAGGAAATGCAACTAAGCTTCAGAAATTTAAGATCATAAAGACCATGAGCTATTATCAAAATAAATTCTAGATTCTGGTTATCGAAATTATATTTGGATTAGATGCCCGAGTAAGGAATTGATCACATGCCACTGTAAAGTACTCTGCGGCTGATCCTGATGTTTATTATGTTAAACATTCATAACGTTGTGCCATACATTCTATAATATCTGTTTGAAAACATTTCTGTGTTAGAAATGCTGTTGAAACAATATGTGATCAGTCAAATGCAGGACTTCGCTGTTATGATAAGATGGGAAGACTTACATGATAAGTGTATTTTGTTTTATTACTAGTTTTTAACTTTTGTATATTTTAATACTATAAAAATGCTTGGAACATTTTTATAAAGAGTCATTTAACAAACTATTCTTATTATCACTGCCATCAAAAGAAAATTGTTTTTCATTACTCGCACAAGCCCTAAAACATGCTGGACAACCATAACTTAAACATTAATGGCAACACAAAAATGCTTTTAAACAAAGGCATGCTAAATCAAGTGCTACAAAAGAAAATCTTGGCGGCAGTCCAGGCTAAAGAGAAAATTACCTATAAAACTCAAAATTCATACCATGTAAACCTTCTCATTTAAGTCTATAGTTAAGATACAGTATATGTATATCAGGGTATCAGGTGAGGTACAGAAGAGAAATGGAGAGAAGGGCAAGACAGGGAATTCTCTGGTGAAACCCCTCTCAGCTTATAGGAACAGTGGAGGGAGGATATCTGGGAGTACTTCTTGAAGAATTTCTCTCCTTGCACTATACAGAAACATTTCAAGAGAAAGGAAAATAACATTTTCCCATTCCCTTCTTTCCTAACCACTAAGCCTATTAGAATTGTAAAATGCTTAGGCTTGAGCACAGAGGTTCTCTAAATACCATATATAATACAGCAGAGAAGTGCTAGGCCTTCACCCATTCCTTCAGACACGCCCCACTTTTGTGAGGTCTGAACAATACTGCAAGACTTCTCTTGCAGGAACATGGTAACCTTGATCAATAATAGTTTTTAAAGATGTTGAGGATACAAAGCAATATTTTGTTGCTGGTCCACTTGTTATCATTTGCTCCCATTTTGCCAAAGTGTTTCAATTTACATATTTGTGTCTTTGAAGCAAAGTAGTAGAACAAGCCTCTTTAGCTTCAAGTGGGGCGAAGGCATATCTTTGTGTTCTTGATCACACAAACAACCCAATACCTACATTGAAGGGTTCTGGCAACTACAAGTATTTAATTTGCTACTAAAAGCCAGACAAATCATATGCTCTAATCCTTACTACAGCCCTGTAAGGAGGTGGTCAGTATTTTCCCTGTGCCAAAGAATCAGGGGAGAGTTTTTTTTTCCCCTCACCTAGAGCATAGGTTCTTAACCTGTGGTTCACAGACTCCCCCCGGGGGGGCTGCAATGTCCTCACAGGAGTTTTATGAAGAGTTGAAGAAATGTTATCTTTAGCAGTTAAAATAGAAAGAAAGAATGAAAAAAGCATGCAAGAAAGAAAAAGGAAATGGTGGCCAATTCACACCATTACTAAACATATGCCATTGCTTTAATCGGTGCAAGGAGGAAACATCAACACTTCACTGCTGCCCCACAAAACTTGCCACTGTTTTAGTTATATCAGATTTCTTGTCTGGGAGTACGAGCGCAACATAAAATTATCTAGACCTCCCTTGAAATTGTTGCAGTATGGGCTGGAGGAGATCCTTCCGAATAGAAGGCGCACTTTAAGAGGACATCAGCAGCAAGGGCAGGCTCAATTAGCAACTAGCAAAACCCGATATCTACCTTCTAGTAGTCTAGATCAGGGGTCCCCAACCTCTGGTCCATGGCCCAGTGCCGGTCTGTGGTCATGGCAGGACTGGGCCGCAGAGACAGATCTTCCCCCCCGCATGCATTCCCCCCACGAATGCACAGCCTGCCCACATGCGAGTGCACCCCACCCACCCACAAGCACAGCAGGGTGCCCCGCCCCCCCACAGACCCCACCCTCCCCCAACTGGTCCACGGTTCAGAAAAGGTTGGGGACCACTGGTCTAGATGGAAGTACATTAAACCTAGCTGACATAAAAGCTTTCCTAAATTCGGGGGTTGTTATTTTAAATTGATAATTAGGCATTCTAAATGTGTTATTCCTAAATACACTAAGTTTGTCCAGCA